GTTGAGTAATTAGAGGACGTAAATGATTTTGGGTAGTAGAACCCCAAGCACAAATACCATAGTTGAGATATGGATAGATGAGGGAGTAATAGAGCGTCACCAGGGCATGGCGGGGTACATAATATCTGATCTTAGAAAGAATGCCCACAGTTTTTGAAACTTTTTTTGATATATTTAGAATGTGTCCCTGGAAATTCAGCTTGTGGTCAATGAGAACGCCAAGGAATTTGCCATCTAATTTGTTACAAATTTGGGTATTGTTAATTCTGAGATTTATTTGATTAGAGGATTTATTGCCAAACAGAATATAGAAAGTTTTGTCAATGTTAAGGGTGAGTTTGTTGGCAGTTAGCCAAAGATGGACTTTATTTAGCTCAGTATTTATTGTGGCATTTAGAGCAAGGGGGTCAGGACTGGAGTAAATGAAGGTATGCTGCCCTGAGGAACACCAATGTTGATGGGTAGGGTGGGAGAAATTGAATTATTCACCGAAACATTCTGGAGCCTGTCAGTAAGGTAAGATTTGAGGTATTGCAGGGAGTGTCTTCTGACTCCATAATGATGTAATTTAAGAAGAAGGTTTTGGTGGTTGACAGTGTCAAAAGCCTTCCGCAGGTCCACAAATAACCCAACAGGGAACTCATTTTTATCAAGAGCTGCATGAATCAAATTAATCATACTAATAAGTGCATCGTTAGTGCATTTTTTGGGTCTGAAGCCATATTGACAAGAGCTAAGTATATTGTGTTTGGCTAGATAAGAGTAAAGCTGCTTGTAGATTAGTTTTTCAAATATTTTTGACAAGTTAGGCAGGATTGATATAGGTCTGTAGTTGTTAACATCTATGAGATCACCACATTTGTGGACAGGGGTTACTCTCGCTTTTTTTTAGCATATCTGGAAAGGTTTGGAGTTCAAGTGACTTGTTGAAGAGCAATGCAATAGCAGGGGCTAAAGATCTGGAGACTTTTTTGTAAATTAAGGTTGGTATCTCCTCAAGGGCACTAGACTTGGTTTTAAGGGAAAGGATTATCTCATTAACGTCAGTGGAATTAGTAGGCTTTAGGTACAGAGACTGTGGATAGTTACCTGTAAGATAGTCCTTAATATCAGTACTGGAAGATGGAATATCATTTGCAAGGGATGACCCAATGAAAGAAAAGAACCTATTGAACTCAATAGCAGAATCAGAGGCTGAAAGCTGACCATCGTTATCATATAACGTCTGGTTAGGACGTACTGCTCTTGATTGATGAAGATTAAGCCACCCTAGAGGTGGCACGGGCATGAATAGCCCGTAAATACTGCTCTCGTAATATTATTCAGGGGGGTGGGTGAACTTTCAAATGAAAGCGCCAAGCCATTACGACTATATAGCACTCGGAAGGGATCAGGATACTGATTTGGGATGGAACGGGAAAAAAGGAATGGTGCCCAACCTCTTGGGCGGTCGGGGATTGAACGCGGACCTGTAGGAAACGAGACCGTCGCTCTACCGTCCAGCCCAAGTGGTTAAGCGTAATATTATTAAAACAACAATTTATGCATATAATAACAGCATTTCACACTAAAAATACTTGGATATAATGAAATTTGGTAGTGAATTCCATTCTTGGAATCTCCTATGACTAAACTGTACTTTTTAATAATTTTTATGTACTTACTACTTATTATTAAATTATTAAGTACTTACTATAATAATTAAATAAATAATTTTATTTAATATTTAAATTAAATGATAAAATAATAGGTAATAATAAATCATTGTGTAGGGGGACAGGCAGCCAGTGTATATATACATGTTAGGCTTATACGAAGGTCCCACAAAGGTGCCACAAAGGTGCCAAATTAAAGACTGGGTGCTGCCGGGGTGGGCCCAAGGGCTGCTGGCGGCCCTGGCTAGGCTGAACTTCCGCGCCCTTATAATCACCATTGTTTAATAATCTTCACAGGGAGAAACAACTGTAAATATAGGAATAGTTTATTACAACATACACGGTAAAGAAAACAGCTCGGAAAGTAAGGAAATAAAGCTGCCGAAAAAACATTAAAGTCCAGTTCAAGTTCAAGTATGTTTATTGAGACAATAAAAAAATACATCTCAAAGGGATAGAGTAGCTTAGGCTATTTCTACCCCCCTCTACTTCAAGTCCCTCAAGGGGCGCACAAATTCAGTGAGTACAAATACACAAATCACAATACAAGATCTCCCTGGAAAGTACAGAAAATAGACGTCGAAATTGTACCCCTCAAGGCGAAAAAGATTCATCATGAACCGGGACAATTACGGTGTTTGTATGGAAGCATGATATCTCGGTTACCAAGAGGCAACAGTTTACATGTATATTGCGACGGGTCGGTGGCGGAGGATGGCAGGGCAGGGTGTGGTGTCCTAATAAGGGATTATACGGAGTTTGGGACTGTGGACAGGATAATTGAACTCCGGCTTAGTAATTATATATCATCCACACAAGCTGAACTGCAGGCCATTCTGGCGTGTTTGGAGGAAGTACGTCATGACGACAAAAATGTTTTTGTATTTGTCGATAGCCGAGGAGCACTGGAGTCCTTAAACAGTCGAAACCCAGTCTTCATGTCTATAGTTGAGGACTGTAAGAGAAGAATAACTGAGATACAGCTGAAAGGTTATAGTGTGAAATTCATGTGGATTCCATCTCATGTTGGAATAGTGCTCAACGAGGTGGCGGATGACTTGGCCAAACGTGCCACATCAAAACCACAAGTTGACATTGAATGTGAATTCACAATGAGACAAATAAGAAGCAAAATCAGAAATATTCAGGCACAGGCGGGAGTGGAGAGGAGAGAGATAATGTATGAAAGAAGTCAAACCATGCAACACTACATGTATGTGAGTCAAAACACCCATTTCACTTATGGTAAAAGGAGAAATGCTTGGAGTGACTCTGTGTACATGCGGCTCAGGCTTGGGTACAAATATTACTGGGAATATGGGTTAGATGTTCATGATAATGACACGAGGTGTAAACTATGTGGTATGTTAAGGTCTCACACCCTGGCCCATTATGTTCTTGATTGTCCGTTGATTAATGTATATAGAAACACTGAGATAAGGACTGTTCCTGAACAAATAGCCTGGATGTGTCACAACGGAAAGGTTGATGATATTCTTGAGAGATATAAGAATTTTGCACCAAGATTGTAATATTTTGTTGAATTATCTGCATGTCTCTTGCAAATTGTCTATACAGTATACCTAGGTCATAAAAGTATTTGTGTGTACGTCTGATAACATACTCCTTGTGAAGGAGGAAATGTATATGTTTACCTCTCAGAATGTTTGGCAATATGTTTATTTGTGATGTGTGTCTATGTATATATTAACACGTTGTACTGAATGGGGTGAGAATAGCTTGAGCTACCTCATCCCTTTGTGTGTATTTTACCTCAATAAACTTATTTCAATTTCAATTTCAATTTCAATACAAGAATCCCATTTAAACATTTATATATATATATATATATATATATATATATATATATATATATATATATATATATATATATATATATATATATATATGTATGTGTATGTGTATGTGTATGTGTATGTGTATGTGTATGTGTGTGTGTGTGTGTGTGTGTGTATGTGTAATTACCTAAGTGTAGTTACAGGATGAGAGCTACGCTCGTGGTGTCCCGTCTTCCCAGCACTCTTTGTCATATAACGCTTTGAAACTACTGACGGTCTTGGCCTCCACCACCTTCTCACTTAACTTGTTCCAACCGTCTACCACTCTATTTGCGAAGGTGAATTTTCTTATATTTCTTCGGCATCTGTGTTTAGCTAGTTTAAATCTATGGCCTCTTGTTCTTGAAGTTCCAGGTCTCAGGAAGTCTTCCCTGTCGATTTTATCAATTCCTGTTACTATTTTGTACGTAGTGATCATATCACCTCTTTTTCTTCTGTCTTCTAGTTTTGGCATATTTAATGCTTCTAACCTCTCCTCGTAGCTCTTGCCCTTCAGTTCTGGGAGCCACTTAGTAGCATGTCTTTGCACCTTTTCCAGTTTGTTGATGTGCTTCTTAAGATATGGGCACCACACAACAGCTGCATATTCTAGCTTTGGCCTAACAAAAGTCATGAACAATTTCTTTAGTATATCGCCATCCATGTATTTAAATGCAATTCTGAAGTTAGAAAGCATTGCATAGGCTCCTTGCACAATATTCTTAATGTGGTCCTCAGGTGATAGTTTTCTATCTAGAACCACTCCTAGATCTCTTTCTTTATCAGAATTCTTTAAAGATTTCTCACATAATATATAGGTTGTGTGGGGTCTATGTTCTCCTATTCCACATTCCATAACATGACATTTATTAACATTAAATTCCATTTGCCAAGTGGTGCTCCATATACTTATTTTGTCCAGGTCTTCTTGAAGGGCATGACAATCATCTAAATTTCTTATCCTTCCTATTATCTTAGCATCATCAGCAAACATGTTCATATAATTCTGTATACCAACTGGTAGATCATTTATGTACACAATAAACATCACTGGTGCAAGAACTGAACCCTGTGGTACTCCACTTGTGACATTTCTCCATTCCGATACATTGCCTCTGATTACTGCCCTCATTTTTCTATCAGTCAGAAAATTTTTCATCCATGATAGAAGCTTACCTGTCACCCCTCCAATATTTTCCAGTTTCCAGTGTGTGTGTGTGTGTGTGTGTGTGTGTGTGTGTGTGTGTGTGTGTGTGTGTGTGTGTGTGTGTGTGTGTGTGTGTGTGTGTAGTGTAGTGTAGTGTAGTGTAGTGTAGTGTAGTGTAGTGTAGTGTAGTGTAGTGTAGTGTAGTGTAGTGTAGTAGTGTAGTGTAGTGTAGTGTAGTGTAGTGTACTCTATATATCAAAATATATTACTTTGAAACCCATATCGTTAACAAAAAAAAATTGGGCTACTCTTATTTCAATTTCGCTACTTTTAGAGCGTCAGCTCGCTACTTTCAGCAATTTAGATCTGGCAACCCTGGCCCGGCCCGGTAGTGGGCTTCCTCAGCTGTGGTCGCTGGTCGCTGAGGCCCTGTACTACGGCCCACCAGTTCCTCGTTGTAAAGGAAGCTTGTGTGTTGAGTATGGCATTACGGGTGCTGAGGTGCGTGTGTGGTGGGCGTGGTGTTGGGGCCATGGTTACCGTACTCTCGCCCTCCACAAGGCCCACATTGACGCCTGCGATCATAGGTGCGTTATTGCCTGTTGTTGTTGGTTGAGGGGCGACGACTTGATCGAGGGATCAGATGTAACCCTAGTTCAGTCGTCTGACCAATTGTCAATTGACCAGTTGGTTCCAGTTGACAGGAACCTTGGTTCCTGTCTCTGAATGTGTTGAGTATGGCATTAACCTTACAAGACAGCAGTGGTAAGCAGTCCCTGTGGTGCAGTGGTAAGACACTCGCCCGGCGCTTTGCGACCGCTTTGGCCTGGGTTCGTATCCTAGCCGGGAAGGATTGACTGGGCGCCAATCCTTAACTGTAGTCTCTGTTCACCCAATAGTAAATGGATACCTGGTTGTTAAATGATTTAGCGGGTTGTATGCCAGGGAAAAGTAGGATCAAGGACTTAACCGAAACCCAGTGACTGTACAATATCAGAACTCTGGTATATATAAATAAATACAGAAAGTTGGGGTATGGTCGTTTCCTACAAGAGACTATTTGATGAAGCTCGTTTTCTGTTAAAGCCGTGTATATTGCGGTGCTAAGATGTGTTAGGTTAGACAGTATTTCACTCGGTTGGATTGGGTTAGGTTGCTGGGCAGGTTTAAAAAATCCATTGGCGAGTCGTCTTGTGTACGATGTGACTAGTATTCCCTTAGTTATCCTCCTGAGCTAAGACTGAGTAGAGTCGCCCATCTGGGCACTGGCCAGACAAAGCTGCTTAACCTGACTGATCCAGTAACTATCACATGATGCGAATATCATTCCCGTTTCTCAGATTTTGTTCAATGGCTTTGGTATCCAAAATTTGCTTGATTGTTAATAATGCTCAAGTTAAATATTATGTTTGAGCACAGATCTACAAGGCGACACCATAATGTTTATAATAACGCTACTACTGTGTTAGATTTTTAGATACATAACTGGGTAGTGACTAAACCATCCATGCTCTGCTGAATCAACAGACCTAATCTAACCTATGGATAACATGTTAAAGATGTTGTACCATTCCCTTAGTATGTACTCTCCAGTGTTGTACTAGAGCAAGTAATCACCTGGCCTCGGGAAGTGGAAACACTCATAGAACTTGCTCCAAGTGTAAAGTACAGTAGGCCTCTATTAATGATGTTAGTGAGAAAATCCTCCGGGGCTGAGAGGCGTTGCAAACCCGCGACCAAGACATTGCCAGCCACGTACTCAACCACTGTATCACCAAAGCCCCAGTGGATTTTCTCATTGATGTACATCACATTAGTGGGATTTTCTGTGTAAATAATATTAGTGGTGTTAAAAATGTGAAAATTAATTGATTTTGTATAGAAATAATAGTTTGCTGAGAAGATAAGAGGTGGTGCAGAATACCAGTTTCCTTCCGGGTTGATGGAGACCTGTAAAGCCATAGCCACTAACTGGGTGCCCCATTGGCTTGTATTCTACATGTTTATAATCCATATTTAGAGTTTTGTAGGTTCAATTAATTTATATAATATTACTGAGATTTTGGTTGGATTTGGTTAATTAGTTGGACACATGATGATGATGCCTTGGCATAATATATACACCTATATTGCATGTAAATCTATTCCTGGCACAGCATCAAAGCAAGTAATTATAATGTAATACAATTAATTTTGCTGGTGGACAGACTGCCTATGTATATGTTCAGTACATGTTTTCACCAAAGCTGTAAAACTTCAAACTTCTGCTGAACTTTAAAATCCAGCTTGAAAAAATCAAGAAAAATGAGGCTTTTGACAACCTGCTTGCTTCCTGTCCTTTTCGAGGCCACTAGAGATGTAGTGGACCGGATAAATTCAGGTAAATGTTAGGCGTATGTCAAGGTCCCCCACAGGTCGAACTACTGATCCTCACTGAGATGCAACTCTACAAGCTGACTATCTCCTCAGTACCTACTTACTGCTAGGTGAACAGGTGCACTAGGTGATAGGAAATGCAGCCAACCATTCAAATCCCGCCCGGGATGAACCCGGAATTTCCAGTTTTGTTGTGAATCTACTTCTTTGCTTCTGTTCTCTTATAATGTTATCCAGAAATATTTAAACACTAAATTGTGATTGGATGATATCTGCAAGCCACTAGTTTATGATAATCTGATTGCATTGTAAGCAGTTACAAAATGGTGATAGAATTTTTCATGTCTTGGTTAACTCCATTATATGTACAGTATCAGATTTATATCATTTGTATAAAAATTATCCATCTACTTGAACTGGTGGGTGAAGGAAAGGCCTTGTACGATACATGGTCGGTGTTTGATCCCCGATCGTCCAAGTGGTTGCGTCCAAGTGGTTGTGCACCATTCCTTCCCACCTGTCATATCCCAGCTCCTTGTTCTCGTATCCCCTTTAAGTGTGATAGTTGTACTAACTTCTTTTTTTTTTTTTAATTTCTTCTTGTAATTACCTTACCTGTATAAAAACTGGGTAAAACTAACTAAAATTGGAAAATCATAACCACATTGGCCTAGGAAATCAACATATGAAGGCAACTGACTTTTGAGGGTTAATATTATGGACATAGTGTACTGTATATAGAAAATTAATGAACATATTTGAGTACACTACATAGCTGGCTATCTTAAATTATCTGAAATAAAACTTGCATTTACCAAATTTTATCTTGGATACAGTATTTAACAAAAGTTGTCAGTGTTAGTGGGTTTTTGAGAACGAGCAATTGCCAAAATCTGCACTTAACACACCTCATTGTACCTTCTTGCATGTGTTATATACTGCATATATAATTATAGTATGTATGCATTTGTATGTATGTACAGTGTGTATGTATGTATATAATAAAAGCCTCAGTTTGATATAACTAAACCAAATTTTCTGTGACCCCAAGTACACATACTGTAGTATGGCATGATGGAACTAACTAAATATAGTTAAGCATTACATAACTGATCAATCCTTACATTATTAAAGTTTGGTCTACTCTTGCCTTGTGCATTATTCCAGGCTATGAGCAAAAACGTTATGCTATGCGGTTGGAGCTGACGGAACATGGTATAAAATGGCGTCGACCAGAGTACATACCATCATGGAGACCGGAAAAGTCTGGTGACCTAGAACTACACAAAGACCCAGATGAGATGCAGCCTCGTATCGAGGTTTTGCCTGCCAAAGATATGCTTGACCAGTAAGTGCTCATTTCACTTTTTTTTTTATAACAGTAGTTCAATTAAAATGATCTGTTTGGATTGTTTTATCAGTATAAAGCTGTTTTGCAGCAGCAACTGTTCTTCACTTTTGTGTGTGTTGGGGGGGGGGGGGGAAGGGGTTTCATGTATTTGTGTGTTGTTTGTATATACAGTATATGCAACATATATCTGTACAGTATTAGTATAAACAAATTGAAAAAATTAATGCAAATTATTCAGTTTTTTATTTTTTTGGGAAAGAAATAAGGAAGTGCAGTCGGGAAACTAATGGATGGGTATGTGGGAACATTAGAGGTAGGTACAGAGAATACTTGATAAAACTAGTGTGAAAATTATGAAAGAGGCCTTAAGATTGACAGGTGCTTTTTAGTATTGAAAAATGCAAGATCTTGCATGTGGGGCATAACAATGCACATCACAACTACCAAATCAGTGCCATTACCTTGAAGCAGATTGATGAAGAAAATGACCTTGGAGTCAGAATCCACAAATTGCTGAAAGTTTTACAACAAGTGGAGCTGCAGTAAAAAAATGTAACCAAATTCTAGGAACAGTCAGACATAACTTTAATTTCAGGGAAAAGAAGGTAATTATTTAACTGGTGTAACTTTAATATGGCCCCCACTTGGATTATTGTATTGAAGCATGGAGACCTCATCTTCAGAAAGACATACAGTTGTACCTCTGTTTTCAAATTTAATCTGTTTCCAAAGATGGTTCGACAACCAAAAATTAAAAAACCGAAACAAAATTTTTCAATAAGAAATAATGAAAATTGAATTAATTGGTTCAACACACCTGAAAATAGCAACTTGTAAATATATTTTATACATAATACTGCTCATATTTTGTACTACAGTCTGTACAAGTACAGTATATCTTGCCTTTATTGAGGACTCTTGTTGGCGTATGGAAGACGGTGAGGGGGAAGGAAGGAGGAGGAGAGGTATTAGTGTTTTGAAAAAGAGTCCCCTTCCATCATAACATCAGACAGTGATGACATTTCTGGGGTACTCTCTCTCCTACGTTTTGCAGGCATACCAATAGGACCTGGTTCTGGCTCACTGCTTGTTTGTCTCACTAAAAATCTATCTATAGATACTTTGTTTTTCCCTACATTTTAACACTTGTCTGAAGTGAGTCATCACATTATCATTAAAAAGGTTAACACAGTGGCCTGCTACAGCTTTATCTGGATGAGTTTTTTTTCAGCAAAGCTTTGCAGTTCTTCCCATACTGCACACATTTTCTTAATGAGGAAGGGCCATTCTCTACTCAACTATTCTCTTAGGTTGAACTTTACAACTGACTTTCTTGGGATCCATGGCATGATATATAATAAGAACTTTTATGTTCAGAAACCAAAAAAAGCACGAAAACAATGAAATTTTTCACAAAGAATTCAAGTGCGGTCCTCACTAGTTGGGACACACTGGCAAACACGGGCACGCCACGCGCTCGGTCGACCAATACATGTACTGTACAGTGTATCAACAAAATCGAGAAGTGAGGCAAACCTCGAATACCGAGTAGAATGTTATGCCGAAATTGAGCTCGAAAACTGAAATATTTGAAAAGAGGGGCATTTGAAAACCGAGGTTCCATTATCTACTTTGGAGAAAGTTCAACATCAGGTGACCTAAATCATTCCTGAACCAAGTCAACTCCCATTCCAAGAATGGTTGAGGGCCACAGGACTAACTGCACTGCAAACTCGACATGACAGGGCTGATCTCTATCGAAACTTTTCAAATACTGTATTGAACAACTTGGAGGATATTTATCTGGACCACTTTTTCAAAAGGTCAGATGTAACAAACAAGGAGCAATGGATTCAAGCTTATCGGGTCACAATGTAGGACAGAAAACAGGAGATCCTTTTTCACCCATAGGGTTATAAACCCATGGAACTACTGTACCTACCCACTAAAACTGTTAATGTCAAAACACTGCCACAATCTAAGATCCTAATAAATAAAATCAGGACAAATGGGGTGGGAGGGGTGGAACTTTCATAGGCCTCCTATCCCTGTCGAGGCCACTAGACAGAGTGGCCATCAGGTAAATTCAGGTAATGAAAACAGTTTGATTTGATGGTGTGAGAGGTCATATATTAGTTAATAACTATATGGAGATGACCATACCAGTAAAGGTAAAATGTGGGAAGCAACAGTTGCTTATGAGGTATATGCAGTAATACCTACTCAATTAAAAGCATTAAGTGGGTGGGTATGGAGAATTTGCTAGAATTCGTGGGATTGAGGGTGCTTGCATTCAGCAGTCACTGGTGATCAGCAACCTGCATCTAAAATAACCTATATCACCTGTATCAATGGATATAACACAATACAAAATATGCCAGCAACTCTTCAAGTATGAAAAATTTTCTGGGGAGAGCCCTTTGTGGTTCCCTGAAGCCATCCTGCTGAGATGGCTCCCAACTACTAGAATGCATCAGCCATGGAGTTCAGTTTGGCCTACTGGGAACCAGTCAGAACCTGGCCCCCACTCAGAGGCACAGGAAGCAGCTGACACACTGCCTCCTAGCCAGGAAAGGTATCTAGAAAGTCACCAAACCAATGCAGACCACTGCTGGGTTTAAGAGATACTGTACCCACTCTACCCCTCACTCATTTGCGGAGGGAGAGGGGCTGGGGTTTATCCTGTCCACTGCTAGTTCTTTTGGGGATGCAATGTTTGCAACACGTCTTCAGTAGGGCTCCAGGGTCATTAGTAAACATGGCTGGCCCCGGTGCTTTTCAGCTAAGTGCCCTTTTAGACTTTGTCCTGTGTGGTTTTGGTTTGTACACTTGGTGTAGTGTGGGCGTGGCACTTTAGTGCACTTGGAGCAGCATGTGCTCGGGGCTACCTTCCCAGAGTACTACTTAGCACTGCCCCTTATGCTGACAGTTCTTTTCTCTGGTGTGTTTTGGAAGTTTTCTCTCTTAGAGGACCATCATGCTTGGGGTGGCATTCTCCTTGAGCGAGTCAAGGGGTCTTGCTGCCCCTCTGTTTTGACCCAAGCCAGGAGCGAGTGTTGGCTGGTGGGGTGCACTTGTGGCTGACGAGCTTCTTGTGTGGCGTGCTGAGATTGGCCTTCGCAGCCATGTAGCCCAGGATGTGTCGGTTTACATTTAGCTTTCTGCGAAGCATCCCCCAATGTTTGGGTGTCTTTCTTGGTTTACCCTTCAGGTCTTTGAAATTTCCTACTGGTTCATTGTGGCCAATGGATCTCGTCTTATGCTAATTTAAGGAGTGTTCGTTGTCCGTGCCATGGGGAGACAATCATTTGTTCTGCCTCCGCTATGCCGCCTATTGGATTGAAGTCACCTACGACCCTGAGTCCTGTGTGGTTTGCACTCCCCATGTGGCTACTAGTAGCATTACAGGTTTGTCTTGTTTGTCTTTCACAACCGTCTAGGTTGTGTGCCTGGTTGGATGCCCCAAGAGCTCTGGCCTTGTGTTTAGGTACACAAAATTGGAGGTGAACGTCATCTTGGCACTGTCTGCACCTCTTCCGTTTCATTTAGGAGTGGTTTGCCCTCCTTTCCCTTCTGCTTCCAGCCCGAAACATCTGGGGGGACTCTGGGTTAGGGCATGGTTTAGCTCAGGATGTGACTCGGTGGTCTCTGGGTGTGGCTCCTTCCAATTTAGTCCTCTGGTTTCTGGCGTTTCTGGCTCTCATGGAGGTCCACTGTGGCTCCATGAGGATGTAAAGGCTCTTGGATCTGGATCTGGTAATTTCCTAAGTGTAGTTACAGGATGAGAGTTATGCTCGTGGTGTCCTGTCTTCCCAACACTGTCATATAACACATTGACACTACTGATGGTTTTGGCCAACACCACCACCTCACTTGTTCAAACTGTCTACCACTCTACTTGCAAAAGTGAATTTTCTAATATTTTTTTTGGCAGCTTTGTTTATTTAGCTTAAATTTATGACCTTGTTTTTGAAGTTCGGGTCTCAAGAATTCTTCTTTATAGATTTTATATAGTCTCTATAGTCGATTACTGTTACTATTTTGTACTTGGTGATCATATCTTCTATCTTCTTGCTTTGGCATACTTACCCACCTCTAACCTCACCTCTCATATATTTTGTCTTTCAGTTTTGGAAGCCATTTAATAGCATGTCTTTGCCCATTTTCCAGTTTTAAGTGACTCATAAGATATGGGCACCATACAACCACCCCTTACACTTTTGTCGAGGTGTTCTTGAAGGGCATGTCAGCAGCTTTGTTGGCCCAGTTTTTGGATTCAGCTTGGGTTCTGGCCCTCTTTTCTGCCTCCTCTGTCTCTCCTCTCCTTTTCCCTGAGGATGCCATTGGTCTGTTTTGTCTTTTGCCTGAACTTGTGGGAAGGATGAGGGCTGGGGAGCTCCAGTGTTTTTTTAAATTTGGGCAAGATAAACATAGAAATATCAGAGTGAAAAGTGCATAAATATAAATATTTGCCAAATAAACAGAAATAACAAAAGTTAAAGAAACAAAGCAGAAATAGTATTTTTGAAAAAAAGTGTGTGGGAGCACATGATGACCAAAACAATTATGACTGCTGGCAAGAGGAAGGACACAACAGAAGAGATTAATATTGATGGTTATGATAAGGAAAATATTAGCAAGAGTGGTTTTCACAACAGTTTGCCAAAAAGAGAGATCATTGTACTAATCCACCAGGGCCGTGACAAGGATTCAAACCTACGTCCGAGATCATCCCAGACACTGCCTTAATCGACTGAGCTACGACATGGTCAAAAGAGTTGAAATCCTCGTCACGGCCCTTGTGGATTTGTTCATTGATGCATCACGCTATTGTGATTTCTGTGTGTCGTGTAGAGATCATTGTAATATATCATGTGAATAGCAATAAGAGAAAATCAATTAGAGCAATGATGACTTGAACCAGCAGTCATGGTACCCCTAACTCTGCACCTCACCCTTGTACCATAATATGGTATAGGTTAAACAATTTGAGATTCCACTGAATCCATAGGAAGTCTGGAGTCTTTTACTGAAGCCAGTCCAAGTTTTACATATAACCCCCATGCACTCTGGTGTTGGTAAAATAGTTCATCAACTGTATGCTCCTGCTTCAGATACCCAAAGAAATTAAACTAATGTGATAACATAGCAGTGAGAAATCAGAGCAAGAGGTCACCCCCCCCCATTATTGACTAGGACCTGCTTTATTCTACCGAGTTCCTTGTCAGTCGGCTCACAACTGGAGCTGTGTGTGAGGGGCATGGTTGACATAGGCAGTAACAACACTGCTTGCACCTATTGTTTCTAAAGTGTATTCCATTACACCATACCTGGTTCATACTTGGTTGATGGGGTTCTGGGAGTTGTTCTACTCCCCAAGCCCAGCCCGAGGCCAGGCTTGACTTGTGAGAGTTTGGTCCACCAGGCTGTTGCTTGGAGTGGCCCGCAGGCCCACATACCCACCACAGCCCGGTTGGTCCGGCACTCCTTGGAGGAATAAATCTAGTTTCCTCTTGAAGATGTCCACAGTTGTTCCGGCAATATTTCTTATGCTCGCCATGGTGTATATGCATGGTGTATTTCATTACACCATGCTATCTTGCATGGCTGGGGCAGAGGGTCATGAGCAGGTACATCATCTTGTATGGAATACAGTACTCTGTATGTGATGGGAGCTTTGAGAGAGCAAGGGCCTGTATTTGTCAGGAACTGCTGACTAAAATATAATTACCATATCACTGGCCAAAATAGATAAAGGCAATTAACACTTGTGTTTAAGTGTACAGTAATTATATGTAAGACACATGCAATACATAATTAAGAGGAAGATAAATGAGAGTAGATTTAGGATAAGGCTGGAGGATTAGTGGGATAAATAGTAGGAGGGAAATACTGTACATGCAAGAAAGGAGTGAATCATAGAAACATTGTAGAAATACAGTTTAGCACTGTACAGTACAGTATGTTTGAATTGCATGTTAAGTTGTACTTTAGTGGTTAAATATTAGTATGATTTTCATTGATTAAATTGTGATTTCACAGGGTTGATGAGGATACAAGAAAGCTTTTATCACTGAAATTTGCTACTCATGGCGAGTCTATGAAGATTAAGCATTATGAAATGTTGCGAAGAGTTCAGCGGCACCAATTAGACACTAGTTCAATGGAAGTTAAAAGTAAGTACATTACAGTAATGTAGGTTTTTTTGTGATGAGCAGCAATTCTCAATTTATCAGGGGAAGCAATTATTGCAAATTTTTTTTTTGTTACTAGATTTTAAACATAATATAAAAATAATATAGAAGATTATATGGAGATCTCCATATAATCTCCATATATATATATGGAGATAGATATGGAGATATAGGTAGATGGAGATGGCTAGATAGTCAGTTCTTTAGAAGCCTTCCGGGGACTCAGAGGCGAAGGGAGCAAATGGCCATGAACACTACATTTAAAGTATGTCATCTTCCCATCGACTAGGAAAGGCACCCAGAAAGGTAGGCGAATCAAAACAGACTACTGCCTGGTTGAAAAGTGTGACATACGTTTTCACAAGCGCAAAAGATCTTTCCCCAGAAAACAAACAAGCAAAATGTCATCCAACTATCCCCCCCTGCTCATTAGCTCCCCCCTCCCTCCTCTCCTTCTCTGCAGGGAGGCGGGGTGGCCCGGGTAGGTCAGGCTGCCACCCTCCAGTTCTTTGAATGATGAAAACCACTGATCGGAGGGAGGGAGGGAGGGTGTCAGAGAGCCTCCGAGGCTCGCTCAGAAACTGCCATTTTATTGCATTCAATGCTGGTTTTCTGAGATAATCTTCAACAGCTTCCTGAAGCTAGCTACCCACAGAGAAGGAAAACAGGGAAGGACCCGGGAGGTGGCAGCGCTGCAGAACGCAACCCAACAAAGACAGCAGGCCGCTACAAAAGACCTATAGCAACACAAAGCACAGAGCACCCGGGACGGATAAGAGACGCCTGGAGGCCAGGGCCATGACCGACCACCAAAACGCCCCGTGATCGAAAACCATCCAAAGACACCAAAAGAACTGCACACATCCAAACAGCATGGGCAAGAGGGTTGACCGTAGGCCGGCTAGATGTAAAGACACTGTGAACAACTTAAGACACACAAACCCTGGAACTGAAAATCAGGAAAACCTGATCAACCTAGGGAGTAGCCATCGACACAGAACAGGTGACCTGCCAGAAGCTGCGTATTCTGGCAGAATTGCATCACATGTTGTGTCACCGGACACAATATGTGATGCACCCCCGACTTAACCAACAAAGCATCGACAACCAATGGATTCTCTCCCAAAGCCTGCCGCCTCAATTTTCACCGGAATTGGAGCTTGCAGCAACAAACAATTACTTACCAGAATCGAGCACACGCCAAAGGGACCACCACAAACCGAGATGAAGAAGAAAGGAATGATCCCAGTCTTTCCTGGAAGAAAAAGAAGGCTTTGGCAACGCAAGAGCAGGCCGGCAGTGAAAATCAATGTGAAAGCTAGTGGAAGCCGTAAGCTAGCGTAAGCTGCTGCATCTTGCGTTCTGGGTGGGTGTCTCACCCATCCAGAACGTAAGATGCAGTGGCTCTGCCAGCACTGCATGACACAGTGATAGTATTCGATGGGACCCATCATGCCATGATGGGTCCCATCGAAGTTCAACCTAAGAAAATAGTTATGAGTAGAAGTGATCGAGGATGTCCCTTCCTCGTTAAGAAAATGTGTGCAGTATGGGAAGCACTGCAAAGTTTTGCTGAAAAGACTCACCCAGATAAAGCAGTAGCAGGTTGTTGTGTTGACCTTTTTAATGACAATGTGATGTCTCACTACAGACAAGTGTTAAAACGTAGGGAAAAACAAATGTCTATAGACAGATTCTTAGTAAGACAAGCAAGCAGTGAGCCACAACCAGGTCCTAGTGGTATGCCTGCAAAACGTAGGGGAGAGAGAGAGTACCCCAGAAATGGCGTCACTGCCTGATATTATGTGCAAACATGATGTAGATGCAAACACTAATACCTCTCCTTCCCCCTCCCCCCCCAACCCTTCCTCGCTATCTTCCATATGCCAATAAGAGTCTTCAATAAAGGTAAGGTATAGTAAAAAAAATTGTAGTATTCTGTATAAAATGTATTTTTAAGTTAATATTTTTGGGTGTGTGGAATGGATTAATTAAATTTACATTATTTCTTATGGGAAAATTTGTTTTGGTTTGCGAATTTTTGGTGTATGAATCTTCTCTTGGAATGGATTAAATTCGTAAACCAATGTGCCACCTGTAGTGGCTTTAAGCATAGTATGTACTAGCTCTATCTAGAAATCCAACATTCTGTTTGTAACTCTTTTTGAATGTATGTACTTTTACCTGAATAAACATTATCATTATCACAACCCAACCCGTTCTCGCAAATTTAATAAGTCAATATTGACTTATTAAATATGTGCATAGGTGACATACTTAACATAATAGATACCCTTAAAAAGATTCATAGAAAACACCGACCTTACCTAACCTTGTTAGTATCTTAAGATAAGCATCTTATTGCTTCGTAATTACAATTATTACCTAACCTATAATAGGTATAGGTTAAGTAATAATTGTAATTACGAAGCAATAAGATGCTTATCTTAAGATACTAACAAGGTTAGGTAAGGTCGGTGTTTTCTATGAATCTTTTTAGGGGTATCTATTATGTTTAGTATATCACCTATGCACGTAGTTAATAAGTCAATATTGACTTTACGAATTTGCGAGAACGGGTTGCACAACCTAGGCTAAGCCTAATAAGGAGCTAGGATCTCCACCGTGACAACAGGCCAAAATGCCAAAATAAAAACAAAAGAAAGCCCCCCCGAAAGCACACAACAAGCAAACTAGCAGCCAGAGAGAAACATCGGTCACCGTATTTGATAGTAATGCAGGCTGCGCTAGCTGTAGTACAGCCTCCAGTAAATAAACACATCCCTACCTGGAGCAAGTTGGAAAGATCAAGACCCCTCCGACTCACCCCAAGAGTGAGGACAACTGCGAGTAAGGAAGCCCTCTAACGGCGAGTGTTCTCCAAATGCCCCAGGGAAGATAACCCTGAGACACAAGGGCAGTAATTATGGAGCACCTAGGAAAGGGAACCCTAGGCGCATGGAGCTCCAGTACTCCAAACTCCTGGCAACATGCGCACCTTCATTTCATAACACCGCAGCAAGGGCGAAACACTAAATAAAACGGGAACACGGACCCAGAGCGACAGCGACCACATGGCACGACAACCTCAGTCAAAGAAGTGAAGGGTGGCGACCTGGGTAGGTTCCTCTTCCCAACCTACCCAGGCTGGCTCCTCCTTTCCCCTGCAGGGGATGGAGCTAATGTGTGGGGGGTTATTTGGATGACGTTTTATTTGTGTTTGCTTTCTGGGAAAGTTCTTTTGTGCTTGTGAGCACATAAGTTGCATCTTTCAACCTGGCAGTGATCTGTTTTGATTCGTCTACCTTTCTAGGCGCCTTCCCTGGTCAATGGCAAGATGACATACCTTAAATGTAAAGCGTTCAAAGCTATTGCTCCCTTCGCCTCTCTGAGGGGGGCCAGGCTTGTGGTTGCCGATAGGCTAACTCTGCAACTGATAACAGTAGAGTAGTATGGCACTTGATCAGTAAGATAACTTCAGAGAGCCAACGGGGCTTCCCCCAGAAAAGAATTTGTTTCAGATTTGTTTTTCTCACTACAGTAGTCGGCTATTAACAGGTCTGCAGCTCAGGGGTTAAAAAAAAAATTGTAATTAAAAGATAGGATTGTTTCTAGAAGTTCCTTGATGTACATTGTATGTCAAATAAATTAAATGTTTTGTTTAAGGCAGAGCAGTGCAATGGTTATACATTGATAATTATTATATTTTAATTTTTTCAGTTGCTGCATTAACAGTGAAAATTCAAAATTTGCAACGAGTAACCTTCAAGTGTAAGAAGAACATCATTGAAAGAGTTCGACTGCAAGAAATGATAGATCGTAGGAAGAAGTTGTTGAAAAATCTGAGAAAAGCAGACTATAAACGCTTCGAATGGCTCCTGGAAGAACTAAATCTCTTATATCGGCCTTTCCCAAGGTAGGGTGTATTTTTCTTGACATTGTGTTAAGTTACGGATTGAGTCTGTTTATGTTGTTGATAATAACTTGATAATAACTTCCTTGGTTTACACAGGTTCTGTACAGATTTGCATTGCATTCATGTTTTACTGCCAGATATATGATTCGGATGGATGTGGTTCACAGATACTTTTATAGTGTGGTGTGTGGGCAGTTATTTTGCCATTTGCATTGGTACTGTATACATTATATATTGTAACACTTTGTATACTTGCAGTAATTTAAAATAATATCCAGGCAGCAAAGGAAGCAACCTGGATGAAGAAAATTTGAAAAACTTTCCCAATTTTATTTGGCTGGATTTTGAATCACAGCAATATTTTGGAATTTACGACTTTGATAGGTAGACAGTTCCGTGGGTTTATAACTGCCCAGTAGGTGAAAAAGCATCTCCTGTTTTCTGTTTTACATTGTCACGTGTTGAGCTTGAAGCCATTTCTCCTTGTATGTGTTACATTTGATCTTTTCAACAAGTGCTCTCGATCAATATCCTCCAAAATGTTTGGTAGTGTCTTTTAGAAAACAAGATCAGTCCTGTCATGTCTGGTTTGCAGTGTTGTTCATCTTGTCCCCTAACCATTCTTGGTGTGAGTTTACTTAATTCTGGCAAGTTTTTTGTTACCCAGTGCTGAACTTTCTCCAAAGCAGATATGTCCTTCAGAAGACTATCTCTATGCTTGGATATAGTAGTTCAAATAGAAGCAGACTAGAGATTTGTACAGTTGGCTAACTACCTTCTTTTCTTTGAGGGACTTCAAAGCTTTGTTTGACTATTCCTAGGGTTTAGTTGGTTTCTCTTGAAGGGAGCCCCACGTGGCTTCCTGAAGGTATCTTGCTGAGACGGCTCTCAACTACTAGGTCACATCAGCCACGGAGTTCTGTTTGGCTTACCAAGGAGTCAGAACCTGGTCACCCCTCACAGAGGTGCAGAGAGCAGGTGACACAGGATTCAAAAGGTGACTGCTAGTGATAACACATGTATCAGAGGAGCTCCGGGATATTTCACAATTCCTAAGTATTGTAGTACAGGTTGATGATGGTGAATGGTGTCCCAAGGAACATAGTTATAGTGCTTTTGAAAAATACGCGAGATACTGTAACACGAATGTGCAAAGTGAAGTGAAAAATTGGATGAGAAAAAGTGACCCTAGTGTTTACAGTGCAGACAACAACATTCAAGATGGCTACCAGCAAGTAGGAAAACAAAACAGAGCTAGATTTTGGGGGTTTTAATGAAGAAAACATTGATATAAGTAGTCTATACAACAAATTGGCAAAATTAGATATTATAGTGAACTATCATGTAGAAATAATCAGAAAATTGAAAGAAAGTAATGAGCACTTGAGTGGCAAGGTTTTAGGTCTTGAGGGGTTAGTGAAAGACTTATGCAAGGATGAGAATCAATAGGAAACAAATTGCAAAGCCATGGAAGAGGAAAATAAACTCTTAAAAATAGCTTTGGATGAAGTTAAAGCAAATTTAAACTTAAATGACTACGATAGGCTAGGTAAGGAAATTCAACAGGAAAAACAGCTTTTGTCAGTACAGATTGAGGAAGTTACACAGGGAATAGAACAGTGCAAGAAGGATATGCAACTCGCCTATGCACAAGTGGCCAAGGAGAAGGAAAAAATAGAAGCGGCAGTAAAGAAAGTCAAACACTGCAGCAACCATGATAAAACAAACATTAGGCTGGAAGTGAGAAAGGAACTGGCATCAAATCCTAAATTGGTACAAAACACAGTTGATCGAAGTCTGATAATTTTTGGTTGCAAAGAAAAGGAGATAACATCTAGGCCAGAAAGAGCTGTAGAAGAGAAAGTAGTAGATAAAATTGGTGGCCTCGTGGAAGGTCTTAATACCATAGCGAATGTCTGTGACTACAGCAGGATTGGAAAGTACGTAAAAGGGAAAGTTCGACCTTTGAGGATCACCCTGAATGGTGCCAAACAGATGGAAGAAGTACTAAGGAATGCTAGAAAATTGCAAAGTGATGAGGTAGGGAAAGTATGGTCATTAAGATGAGATCTTTCAAAAGAAGACAGAGAAGCTGAAACTGAACCTCACCGAGGCAAAACGTTTAAATGAGAGCAGGAATGAAGTAGAAATCAATTCTTTTTTTCTACAAAGTGATAGGGGTAGGCAGACCAGTAAAGTGGTACATAAAGGCAAACCAACAAAATCATTAGGACCATTGTCCTTTCCAATGAGGGCCTTTTGCTTCAGAGGGAGGGGTTTAATATCCCCCCTCCTTGTATGAATTTGATCTTCAAGCAGCTTACCCCCTCCACCCCTGGTGTTCTTTTCTGCATTCATCTCAGCCTGTCGGATGCATCTTTCCAGAGGTTCCTGGGTACTTTTTGAGTTTGGATCTTCTCCTTATTGGATGTGTTATGGGGTTCTGGAGTCTTTCTGGATAGCGGACAATACAGAGACATGGTTTTTGTTTGTTTGGCCCCGTTGGGCATTATGTTCATCTGCAGCCATCTTGCTCTTTTCTGGCAAAGAATGAGTTGGTGGGCTTCCAATGGGATCCCTTGGTGGTTGTTGCACCCCTGGACTAATCAACCAACCATCATGTGATATGTCTGGTAGCAGCTCCCTGCCACTGCATTTGTACCATTGATTCTGCCTGAGTAGATGCCTTGTGGGTTGAAACCATTTCTTTAGTTTCCTTGTTCCAAGGCTTGTGTTTCCCAGGTCATCCAAGGTGTCAAGTCCAGCCAGCTTGTAGTCTCCCCACATGCTAATGATGATTGAAAATACATGGCTCTTGTGGTGGTTTCTGCTAGTGTGTCCTTGGCTGATATTCAGGCACTGATTATGGCAGCCCGGTATTTAGTTAATGTTCCTAAGCATCGTGGTGCCTGTGTCGCTTTGGGTTGTCTCGCAGCCTGGCGTTTCATCTTCGTTTGACTTGATTTCTCCTCCATCCTGGTGAGTCCCTCTTTCTTTGTGAGTAGTTGGCTTCATCAAAGCTTCAGGGTGTCACAAGGGGCTCCCCCCAGAAACCCAGTGTTGAATGTAATGAAGTGCCTCTTTCTGGATGAGCCTCTGTGGCTCCCAGATTCCCACCCTCCCTCCTCCTAGGTCATCGGTTAGGGGTTTCAATTGCACATCTGTTCCAGAACTGGTGTAGTGGGCACCAGGAGCTCTGCCCCACCCCAACTGGTGGGTGGGGGGGGGGGGGGGTAGTGCTATCGAGCTTTTACTTGTTTCGAGAGATTCGATAGTTTGTTTACATTGTTGGGGAGGTTGGCAGTTTTGAGGTTTTAGTCTCTTTGAACCCAGCAGTATTTGCTGACTTTTTGGATGCTTTCCCAGTGGGGTGGCAGAGGTTCACCTGCTCTCTGTACCTTTGTGAGGGGTGGGGGAGGTCCCAGGTTCTGGTTCTGTTTCCTGGTTGGCCAAACATAACTTCACGGGTAATGTGACCTAATAGTTGGGAGCCATCTCAGGGAGATAGTTTCATGAAGCCATCAGGGCTCACCCAGAAAGTGGCATTCCATTACATTCAATGCTGAGCTTTTTCTGCTATCTTCCCCCCCTTTCCCCCATCCACCAACTACAGTACTAGGAAAATTTGAATTGGGTTGCGACCTTTGCCTCGCCTTGCGACTTTGTTGATACAGTACCCGTATGGGTCGACTGAGCGCATGGTTCCTGGTGGCATGGGCGACCCTGCTTCAGTTAACCAGAGCCGCGTGCTTAGTGACAATCGCGCTTCAATTCTGTTAAGAATTTCATTTTGTGCTCTTTTGGTTTTTGAACATAAAAGTAATTATTATATATCACCCTATGGGTCCCAAGAAAGTCAGTGGTAAGGTTCAACCTAAGAAAATAGTTGAGAGTAGAGGATGTCCCTACTTCATTAAGAAAATGTGTGAAGTATGGGAAGCTCTGCAAAGTTTTGTTGAAAAAACCCACCCAGATAAAGCTGTAGTAGGCCGTTGCATTGACATTTTTAATAAATACAGTGTGATGTATCACTACAGACAAGTGTTAAAATGTAGGGAAAAATGAGTGTCTTTAGACAGATTCTTAGTAAGACAATCAAGCAGTGAGCCACAACCAGGTCCAAGTGGTATGCTTGCAAAACATAGAGTATGCCAGAGAAGTCATCACTGCCTGATGTTATAATGAAAGGGGACTCCCTCTTCCAAACAATATAACACCTCTTTGTCCTCCCCCCCCGTCCTGACAGTCTTCCATAAGCCAACAAGTCATCAATAAAAGTAAGCTATAACTTGTACATACTATAGTACAAAATATTTGTATGTATTATGTATGAAATGTATTTATAAGTTTATATTTTTGGGAGTGTGGAATGAATTAATTAAATTTACATTATTCATTATGGGAAAATTTGCTTCAGGTTGCGATTTTTTGGCTTATGACCCATCTCTGGGAACGGATTAAATTAGAAAACCAAGGTACCACTGTAGTATAAAAGTGGTGTGGAGGGAGGGTGGTTGTTCCTTCAAGTTAGCAAAACAATGTAAACCATGGATGGGCACAAAGTAAACCTGTGAAGTAATCCATAGCATAGATTTGGAAGAAATAAATTAAATTCATGAAAGAATCTACACAAAACATAAGAATTAGTGTACAGAATATAGTATAAAGAACAAATATTTCTTATTTGTACTTGGCTTGGAGTGGGAAGCTGGCTGCAGGCAACTAGATTCGCTGACCAAAGAAAAAAACGACATTTTACTTGTGGGGGGAATGTACAAGCAGTCCCTAACTTACAAACTGGATGCATTTTAAAAAGGTGCTCATAACTCTGAACCAGATTCCCATAGAAAATGCTATAAATGGGGGATGCATTCCTGAACCACCAAAAATTGACAGCCACATGCTTTCCGTAAGCCACTTATCTGGATGTGCCTGTTATCCGTTTTAGAGTTTGTCCAAATAAGAAAATGCAGTTAACTGGCGAAGGTGAGCAGTCCGAATAAAAATGTGCAATAAAGTCATGAGTCGAGCATCCGCCAGGCCTCGCTGCCAGGTGGTGGTGCGTAGGTGGGAGATGGGCCTAATTTGCCTAGCGATAATATCGGGTGCCACTCAAGTGCTTCATTCCCATGTGATGTCACGGATTCATGTCCCTTTGTTTTATGTCACGAGACTGGAGCGTTTATTGTGATTTTGTTGGATATACAGTACTGTACAGTATATAAAGACAGCAATGGTGAATATTTAAATTGATTAATTTATTTTATTCCAGAGAGTACAAGTGGATAACTAGAAAAGATTCGTTACAAAAGCTTGTCCAAATGCATGGAGAAGAATTGAAAGAGAAACGTCTTGCAGAATATCAGGCAGCCCTTGAGCTTCAAAAGGAGCCCTTCTTAAAAGAGAAGGTGGAAACACTGCGTTGGATTGCCGAGACAGAGACCAGTTTGGGGGTACCAGTCAGTGTTGTTGTTCCAGAAGACCCCACAGTAACACATGGTTCCAATTCTGACATTAAAGAGTAAAATGGCCATTAAATTTGATTTTATGTATTGTTATTAGTAGAGTTTTACTGAATGTTGAAATTTATTTAACAACCCGTCTCATACAGAAAGTTAGTAATGTTGTAGGTAACATTGTATATAAATTTGAAACTTCTCATATTAATTACTTTACATACTGCAGTAATTATTAAAAATGTAGCCCTATGATGATAATAAATTTGTTATTTATATTACTATGTCTAAATTAAACTTATGCATACAAGCTAACAATTAAAAAAAAAAAATGAAGATTCACATACAGTACTTATAATAATAATAAACAATGTGATAATGTTTTAAATACTGTTTACATGGTTTTTACACCAATTTCCATGAACTGTAGTTTCTGATCACTGCTTTCTGTGTCCAGGAGTTGATGCTTAGCTGCTTGTCCTGGTCACTTCCGTGGCTACTCTTTTTCTCTCTTCCCCTCCAGCTTTTGCTAGTAGGTATTCTTCTGCTGTCTTGATCCAAAATGATATTACTTTGTACCCCTGCTTTTTTAGTTGAATATTCATTCCTCTGATACCTGCTTGATGGGGTTCTGGGAGTTCTACTCCCCAAGCCTGGCTTGACTTGTGAGAGTTTGGTCCACCATGCTGTTGCTTGGAGCAGCCCACAGGCCTACATATTTACCACAGACTGGTTGGTCCGGCACTCCTTGAAGAAAACTATCTATATAAAACTATATAGTTTTCTCTTGAAGATGTCCGCGGTTGTTCTTGCAATATTTCTTATGCTCGCTGGGAGGATGTTGAGCAACCTCGGATCTCTGATGTTTATAGTGTTCTCTGATTGTGCCTATAGCACCCCTGCTCTTGGGTTCTATTCTGCATTTTCTTTCATATCGTTCACTCCAGTATGTTGATATTTTACTGTAGATTTGGGACCTAGCCCTCAAGTATTTTCCACGTGTATATTATTTGATATCTCTCTTATCTTCTTTCTAGCAAGTACATTTGGAGAGCTTTGAGACGATCCCCATAATTTATGTGCTTTATTGCGTCTGTTTTCTGCACTCTCTCCTGCTCTGAAGGGGAAGGGAGTACTGAGCAGTACTAAAGATGCGACAACACAAGTGATTTGAAGAATGCAACCATTGTGGTGGGATCCCTAGATTTGAAAGTTCTCGTAATCCATCCTATCATTTTTCTGGCTGATACAATATTTGCTTGGTTATGCTCCCTAAGCGTTAGGTCATCAGACATCATTATTCCCAAATCCTTTGCGTGTTGCTTTCCTACTACTTGTAGGCACATTTGTGTTTTGTACCCTGTATTATGTTTAGTTTTTTGCCCCCCATTGCCACACTATGGTAGTTCACTTCTGAGGTTGGTATTTGACACTAGTTTGTCTTAGTCATCCTATATCTCTTGCCTCGGATTTAAATGCTCCAAGTCTTACCTTAGTCTTGTCCCATACTTCTTGCGGAGCCAATAGATGCGCATTCCTTTATCTGCACTCATATTGTCTAAACTTGATTATGGCTGTTCCACTTACTACTATTACTCATCCTTGATGTTCTGCACTATACTGGGTTATATCTCAGTTCTGGTGCCTTTTGTTTGTTCCTTGCCCTGAGTCTATATGTTGAAACCAGCATCCTGTTTCTACAGGATCATCGAGATAGTTACTACCTTCTCTAACATGTGCAGTACCTGCAACATTCTCTCTCTCACTTATGACATCCTTTGACCGTTAACCCTCATGTGGACCCTCTTCCTCTCATCTTCCATTTTCAGTATAGTTGTCTCACTTGCAAGATTCCCCTCTCAATTCATGTTTGCAATATTTCTCCTTGTATCATTCCTTCCTTACCTCTTTGGAGGGTCCCACTTTTAAAGTTTTGCAAGACCTTGATCTGTGGAAAAGGGTTCTTCCCTCCACATGGTTATGAAACCCCTTTTTTATGAACACTTTTCTTCGCCTTCATGCTCCACAGCCGTCTTCACACATGGGGTGTAAGTCTGACGATGGTGTTGTCTTCCCTGACCAAACCTATATTTGCTGCCTTTCCCTGGAGACTAGCACCTTCACAGCAGAAATTTATGCAATCTTGTATGCATACCATCAACTGCTTTCCCTCTGTTAGCATTCCTTTGTCATTGTGGCTGACTTTGTGCCCTCATTCCCTATACATCTTGTGGTAGTCAAAATCCAACATTGGCCACTTCTTATCTGTAGCAGATTGACAGTCGAGGTTTGCTGATTTCGTAGCCATATTGGTATTTCCTTAAGTGAATGTGCAAGACTGCTGCTAAGGAGGCTATCTCCACTTGTCCTATTTCCAAAAAGCATTCCTTATTCCAATTTCTACCCAGTCATTCATTTCTTAATCCGAGATCACTGGCAGGGCCGGTGGTTATCTTGAGATGATATCGGGGCTTTAGTGTCCCCGCGGCCCGGTCCTCAACCAGGCCTCCACCTCCGGGAAGCAGCCCGAGACATCTGACTAACTCCCAGGTACCTATTTTACTGCTAGGTAACAGAGGCATAGGGTGAGAGAGAAACTCTGCCCATTGTTTCTTGCCGGTGCCTGGGATCGAACCTGGGACCACGGGATCACAAGTCCAGCGTGCTGTCCACTCGGCCGACCGATTCCCAACCGGTGGTCTGGGGTTACCGGTAACCTTTTACCCATAGCCTTCCTCCTACCACCATAATAGACGGTAAGAAACGGCTTCAGCTAGAGTACATATTGGCCATACACGACCAACTCTCGGACACTTAATGAAACACTACCCTGCTGCTTATTGCCCAAATTGCACTGTTCCACTTAGTTGTGCACCTTGTTGAGTGTCCTAATTTTCAGGACAATCATATATCATGCTTTCCTAATGTCTCTCAAGGTCATTTGTCCTTGGATAGAATCCTTAGTGAAACCGTTACCTTTGATATCGCTCGCTTTACAGTATGTGCTCCTGTTCTCGTATTGGCATCATAAGTGATATTTAGCACCTTTTGAACATCTAACAGATGGGTCTAAATCTGCCGATGGTGTAGGGTACTCTTGTCTTTCCTGACCACACCTATTTGTTCCACCTGTCCCTGGAGACTTAGCATCTTCACAGCAGAACTTTGCAGTTGATGAAGCACATATATAATTACATTCTCACTGTCAGCATTCCTTTTTCGTTTTAGTTGACTTGCAGTGTCCTCATGACACTGGAGTCATTTAATCCTATCCATCCTATGGTAGTAAAAATTCAACATTGTCTGTTTCTTTTTTTTTTATCTCCAGCAAATTTATGACAGTAGTTTTGCCGAGTTCCCAACCATATTGGCATTTCCTTAAATCAGCGTGCAGACACCACAGCCGAGAAGGCTATCACACTGATCCTATTTCCCGTAAAGGCATTCCATAATCAGATTTCTACCCAGTCATTCCTTTTTCAATTAGTACCTGCTAGCATGAGCCATTGGTCTTCTGTTACTGGTAACAGTGTGTGCTCTTAACAGTAACCTGTTCCTTTGGCCTGCCTCTTCCCACCGTAACCAGCAGCGTGAAACCGCTCTGGCAAGGTTACATATTGGCCATACACGTTTAATTCGGTCACTTGAAGAGCAGGGCTGTGCTCTATTATTGTCCCTTACAGTCATACGTCTCCTTTTTGAATGTCTTGATTTTCAAGATGTTCGTGTCTTGCTTCCTGACTGTCCCTTGATAGCATCCTTGGTGAATCCATTACCCTTGGTATTGCTCGCCTTATGCACTTTTGCTCTCGTATTGGCATCCTCAGTGATATTTAGTGCCTCTTGAATATCCTGCAGCTTTGATGGTGCTACACAAGTATTCAACTAGTTGCCTTCTTTCAACAATTACTTGTCTCGAGTCCTTTTGTTCTCTATTGGTATTTTGAGTGATTTAGCACCTAGATATCACATGACACACTGCTACCTAGTCTTCCCTGTTTGGCACTTTTGATAATTACTAATTTTGAATTTTATTAAAATTTAAATGGGCTATTAACACCACTATGTAGTGTGTACAAATAATAGACATGAAAAATAATTGGATATGGAAACTTCATTTCTAAAACTTGTTTAATTCCAAATTATATGAAATTATAAAATAATGGCACTACCCCTGATTTTTTTTTGTTCGCTGCACATCCATATTACAAATTTAGTATTATTCCAGTATTTAATTCTGAAATGTTGCAATTCCCTTTACGTTAAATTTGCGCAAAGTAGGTGTTTTATTCGTATTTTCTGTAGATGCCTTCTCTTTATTCTTATTACGGAAACATGAAGACAACGTAAGAGAATCCTTGTGGAATTTTAATGGCACCATCCCCAACTGACCACCATACCGGTTTTTCACCACCTGTAAAAAGACAAAATACTGTAGTGAGCATTAGAGCTAAAAGTAAAACCATTTACTTAATATATTCAAAGATGTACAATGAAACCTCTGTTTTGTGACTCCAGTTGCAATGGATACCACAAATCAGCATTACATACCCGCATCACCAAAGAAGCGTTCAGTGAAGTGGGGGATATGCAGATTTGCTGAGAATGTGGTCCATAGTACAATGACCTAACCATAAAAAGAATGAAACTAATAAAACATTTCTAACGAAAGTATAAATATTGTATGTTAGTATGCCAACCCTTCCTCCAAAGTGATTAATTATGAAAAGGTGCCAATATGAGAAAAACATACAAAGTGAGCAATATTAAAGTTACTGCATTCACCAAGGATTCTATCAATGGACTTTAGGAAAGCAAGACACATAATCGTCCTGAAAATCGGTACGTTCAAGAAGGCAGTGCATGACTATGTAAGGCAATAAGGAGTAAGGCAGCATTCCATTAAGTGACCATTAGATATATACTGTATATATGGCCAACAGGCAACCTAGCCAGAGCCATTTCCCCAAATCTATTATAGCTGCTAGACATAAAATTCTAACATAGGATTTCAACTACCACAGGCTGTATAGTGATCAAGGGCACCGAGTGAATCGCAACAAAGGAACGTTATATTGGGAAAGCAGTTGATGAAGTGCATACACGATTAGCATCTTCGTGACAACTTTGTGCAGTCTCCAGAGGCAGGCAGCGCATATAGGTCTGATCAGGGAAGACAACAGAGTAGCCAGTACTGTCAGCAGACTTGCACTAATTTGTGAAGAGGGCTATGTAGTGGGAGTGCAAAGAAAGTGTTAAATTGCATTTCTTCAATCTAATATGACTGCTTCAGTCTGTGCTATTTCTTCAATTGCCATTTAAATTATTTTTTCTTTGTGTGGATAGTCATGTCTTATCATTTTCCTTCTGTAGTGCCATGTGCACTTGGGGGGGGGGGGGGTATCTAAGTACAGTATGTGGTATCTAAGATTATAATGCCCTCGATTATTTCTTTTTTGCTTGTGAAGATTAGATCTTGAATATTTTTGGTCCTAGCTGGCTATGGTATCTGTTAGTCGAGCGATAATTTTACATTGTTGCTGCTGCTGCTGCAGTGAAACAATTACGACAGTAAGGAGATATCTGGTACTGGGTTTGCCAGATTATCTAGGGTATTGTCTGTTTTATTAATCTGTTCTGTGAATTTCTCAACAGTTGCATCTGGCAGTTTGTACTGTATATCAGAATAATAACTACGGTAACTTTTCTCTCTCTTTAACTTCGTGTTTCTATGACCTTACTTGTAGAGTTAAGGTGCTCTGAGCATACATGGTCCCTTCTCTTAACAAACCTCCTAATCCATGTGACCTATTTACCTTATCACAACCATATACAGTAGATTATATTCTGGTATCCAAATCTCAATGTCCATGAATTCCCCTGCATGGGTTTCTGTGAAAGCTCCAAATACTTTTGTCTCTGAGGAGGCCATTTATGACCAGTATTTAGTTTTTTGCTTTCATTTTTAGTCCCTGTATGTTGGCAGATAAATGAGGTTACAATATCTGATGTACTTTGACTGAGGTGAAAATAGTCTGAGGTCCGGCAGAGTTTGCCATTCTGCAGGAACAACCATAGACATCTTCAAGAGAAAATTAGATAATTTTCTCCGAGGAGTGCTGGACCAACCGGGCTGTGGTGAATATGTGGGCCTGCGTGCTGCTGCAAGCAACAGCCTAGTGGACCAAACTCTCAAGTCAAGCCTGGCCTTGGGCCAGGCTTGGGGAGTAGAGCTTTTGAACCCCATTAACCAACCAACCAGGTTTTCTGGGAGGTCCATTAAGTGAGGGCATATTGGTTTTGTTCTGCTCTGTATTGGTTGCCTGCTGTACTTTTAATTGTAATTAATTGTTGGTAACAATTAATTGTTTAATTGTTACTGGTAGCTATGACTCTGCCATGTGTCTAATTCACTTTTTGCTGGTTCAAGTACCATGCATTACCTCTGCTCCACCTTTTGAAATGGCTTTCTTCTGGCTCAAAAACCTATTTACTACTTCTCAAAAGTTACTTTCCTGTTTGCCATTTTGTCTAGCAACCTCTTGCCTTTCACATCAAAATCTGAACAAGAGAAGTAAGTAGCATTTTCTTTCTTTATGTAGAAAGACTGCACATGACTTGGGGAAAATCTCTGCATGTTCTTCCAAAACAACATATTTTTACCTTAAATAATTGATGCATTTTTTTGGGGTGAGAGCAACTGCAGTCTAACCCCCCCCACCTCTCTTTCCAGAATATCTATGTCTGCAAATGCCCTTTGCATAAAATTTACATATGTCAGTCTTTTATGTCTGTCTCCGTCTATCAATGTTTGTACCGATCAGGCAGTTTGTTATATTTTTCTATTTGCCATCATCTTTAGCCGGCTGAACTGATTCAGAGATTTCCTGAACTTGTATTTCTTGTGTAGTTTCATCCTTGTCAACAGCTATGTCCATATTATTATTTTTTCCCCACTGCCTGGATAGCTGGTAGGCTTTGCATGAAAATCATTCTTTCATCATGAGGCATGTTATCGAGGAGTTTTATAAACAAGTTCCAGCTGGCAAATCATTCTCACATGCCCAGAGAAAATGGCCTTCTCTCAGACCTTTATTTGTAGTCATACCTGCACAAGAAACATGAAACCCCTTTTTACATACAGGTGTTCGTTGCAGTGACTACAATTTTGGTTATTTACCTCCATGCTGTTTACTGGGAGTTGGGTCTCTATGGGAGGGGGGGGGGGGTAGGCTAACCACTCAACAAAGCATACTTGGCAACTGTTTTTTTGTGCATAGTAAGCTCTTGTTGTTATCTACTTGTTTAAATCATTTAAATATACAAATAAAACCTTCTCAGAAACACTGATGGTATGTATAGCAACAGACTAATCTATAAAATCACACAACCATGACTGTAGCTGCAATATTTATTAAGATATTTAATTTGATTAATAAATGGCTAGTTTCTGGGTCCCAGATGCTGATATCCAGCCACATAATTATATCACTTGTTTGTAAAGGAATGTCACTAGTATGACCATAAATATTGTGATCTATAGTACATCAGACGACTGAAGGAATAGTTTGCAATGAAGGAGTAAATGTATTTGTACGTTTCTGTGGCAATTCATGGAGAACTGTACACCTGGTTTTATGAAGCAGTTGGGTGCTAGTGTGGATGACTGACTGTGTGATGGTGCTTGTTTATGCTATAACTGACATAATGAATGCTTGAGCGATATTTTCATACTACAGTATATAACCTATATTCACTATACAGCACTGGTCACCTTTTTCAGCTAAGGCTGATGCCACCCTACCTCATACTGAACTGGGTAAGAAGAGCTTGAGCTACCTCATCCCTTTGAAATAAGTTTATTGAGGTATAAATACACACAATTTCAAACCTCTTAAGTGTGAAACTGTAATGAATAATTTTTAAAAGATGCCAAGTCTGGAAGATTACTTAGCAGTCTGTGGCACGGAACAGCACAAAATTCTAAGCAAAAAGACACAAGGTGAGTGATGATAAAGGTATCAAATTCATCAAGTATTAATGAATAAAATATAACTCTCTCTCCCTAGGTCTTTCCTTTAATATACTCGTGTATGTGCAACTGTCAACAATACGTGCTCGATTCATTTAGTTTTCATCTGAATCTAGCTAATACTCATGAAATGCAAAACGTAACTTAAAAGAGAAGTAACATGTACCTGTAATATTTTTTTGGACTGGTTGATTGTAAAGCCGTCCTTTACTTGTAAGATGAGAACATTGTCAGCTTCTTGTGTAACCTTTGCACCACCAAACACACTTTCAATGCTTAGCGGTTGACCTGCTGGAACCTGGTCAAGATTAGACATGACAATCATATATTTAGTTAAAGTACAATAGACTAATAGATAAGCTATTAAACAAAATTTACTTTCCATATAGATAAAATCTCATTATGTGAGGTAATAAGCACAAACTTTTACAAATGCATTTTTTCTTATACAGTACTGTACAGTGAAGCTACATGTCTTAAGTAATGATGATATCACACTACGTTTCCATACAGTCTCCAGACCTATTTATGCATCTTTTAATACAGTACTGACACAAATGCATCAAACCCAGCATAACAGAAATTGGTGTCAAGCATCTGAAACAAAGATTTAATAATCTTCTATCACCCTGTCTGTCGCATTTTGACTATACTCTACCATAGGCCAAAAATTGTCGTACTAGAAAATGGTAGCGGCTCGCAAAATTGATATACTGTTCCATTTTCTGTTTTGGGTTCTCTGTTACGATAGGATAAGAGACTTTAGTACGACAATTCTTTGATATTGGGAACCTTAGGAGGAAGGGCTGCATTTACGTAGGTCAGTTGCAAATTCTCTTTCAGGACTTGGGTGTCCAACTCACTGCTCTCCTTAAATATATGTCATGTTGTTGCTAAAAACATTGCACCAAACTCAAATCTGTTTCCTTGGCATGAAGTTAATATTCTGTACACAAAACATTGTTTGGCAATAAATTCAGCTAACTTTGAACTTTTGTCTTCAGAAATTAAATCTCATTAAATTCCCACTGGTAGACCATGAACTCAAATGTTCAATAAACCTGATATCTGGTGTTCATCCAGTTTGGTGGATATTAAAATATGAGGAGCCACTTGGTGCAAGTGACAAGAGTTGTCAACAATCCTGTTGGATTAGTAGTCAAGCTGAAGGAGAGAAGGATTCATGTATCATAACAGGTCCACAGGGAGACAGGACTACACGAGGGAAAGAAGCTTCATCCATAAGGCTCAGTGGGAGAATGAGCAAGCTAGAGGAATAGGTGACGAATGCAATGAAGTACAGTACAAAATTACTGTAGGATTCAACATAATGCAGGGAGGACAAGAGGAGAAACATGAAGACTTGGAGAAAGAGCAGACAGCACAGGTTGGTTCTAGGCTGCGCTTGGGGAGTAGAACTCCCAGAACCCCATCGATGTACACAATACTGAGGGGAAACAGGGAGACACTACAGAGGGCCATAAATAAGTACATTAGGGCTAGGAGGGAAGTGAATGGGCAGTTTCAAAATGGACCTTGTTATTAATTAGAAAAAGGTAACTCTCTCACATAGAGCAACAAGAAGGCTGCCAAAACAAAACAAAAAAAAAACTTTTACAGAAGATTCCAGGGGCCAGATTCACGAAGCAGTTATGCAAGTACTTACGAACGTGTTCATCTTTCCTCAATCTTTGATGGCTTTGGTTACATTTATTAAACAGTTTACAAGCATGAAAACTTCCCAATCAACTGTTGTTATTGTTATAAACAGCCTCCTGGTGCTTCGGAGCTCATTACCTGTTTAATAATTGTAAAGAAAGTCGCCAAAGATTGATAAAAGATGTACAGATTCGTAGGGACTTGCGTAACTGCTTTGTGAATCAGGCCCCAGGTCTTCAAGATCAAGTCAGAGTGGAGGTCTCGTACAAGTGATGATGAAAGGATGGAAACCATATTTGTTAATACGGTTTAAAGTAGTAACAAAATGTTAAAGAATTTGATGTAAGTAAAGTAGTAGGATCAAACTGGATATTGAAAAAGCAACAAATACCAAGTACTCTTCTGGCTACAGTCTATAATGTGTCATTAATGAACAGAAAATTCTCAGAGACCTGGAAGACTGAAAATGTGGTGCCCTTAAATACTGTACAGTTGTTTTTACCACACTGGTATATAAACAAGAAGATATCAGGGAGGCTGAGAAAGTTGAACAGCCCAGAGGACATCCATCAAAAGAAAAATTACCTTCCTCCTTGCATGTGCTACACTCGAGGAGGAAGATGTAGGGAACGTGTGTTTATTTCATTAACATTCTGATATGATTTACTTTTGTTTTTGCTTTTGTATTGTTCTTATATTTATTTTATGTGAAAGATTATTTTAAAGCAGCCTAATTCAGTGTGGACTGTATTACCTCAAGACAAGTTATCGCTATAACTTATTTTTCTTAAAAAAAAGTTCCTTCCGATGTGTTTTCAGGAAAGCAACAAACATGTAAAATTTGGATACTACTGTATACAAAAATTACATTTACATCTAAGGCGCTTATAACTTATAGTAACTTATTTATTTTAAAAATATCTTTTCTAACAACTTCAGGGTATGTGAAGCTTTTCCTGATTTTACAATAATTATATATGGTCATTAAACTACTATTGTACTAACCTTCTTGGGATGTACAACTAAGGAAACATGACAATTATTCACTGTTGCAAAACGTCGAAAGGCTGCAACCGTTTTATCCTGCTCCCACCACCTATCAATTGGTTGGTCAGATGTGCCTAACATGAACTGAAGGTTGTCAATGATCACATGCTGGATTCCCCATACTTTAACAGCCTCAGTCATGGCCTGAAAGTTGAAAGTCAAACATTAAACTTTATTTTTTTTAAGGCCCACAGTGCATACAAGAATTTTTGAAGGCCCAGAGCACCCAAAGTCCCAGCCTGGCACCCACCTCTCTTATGATGAGAACGAAACCTTCAAAAACCATATTGAATGCAATACACCTCTTTCTGACTGGGCTTGGTGGCTCCCTGAAGCTAGACATACTGAGGTGGATCCGTACACAAGTCACATTAGCTCTTGGAGTCTGTAATAGCTTACCAGAGATCAGAGCCAGTACCTGCCCCCCTTCCCCTTCCAAGTCACAGGGAACAGGAGATTCTTTAAAATCACCCTCACCACTGGAAACTTGTGAGGGTGATTTTTAATGGAGTTTTCCAGGGCCCTTAGGCTGACTGCTAAGGGATGCCCAGGCAAGGAACTGCTAACTGGTATCCAAATAAAACAAATAAAGCTGAACCCCTGTGACGTGTGCAATCATTGGGGGCCTAGCGGAGGACCACCAGAATAACAGAAAATGCATAATTACCAAGGGGTACACCCCCCACCAGACAAAAAGAAAAGAAAAGCCCCACCAAAGTACATCTCCAGGGGAACAGAGGCAGCCACTATGATATTACAGTGGAACCTTGAGTGACAAAACGGCTCCAGTTACGAGCAAGCCACTCACAGAAAATATGTCTCGACTGACGAGCTTTCACTCGATTAACGAGCGTTCCCGCTGGTTCTCGGACACCTCCGACGACAGTTTTGTTGTTGTTTCACAAGACGAGTTTTCCACATGACGAGCTCGGTGCTGGAACAGATTAAACTTGTTAATCGAGGTGCCGCTGTATAAGACAAGCTGCACAGTACCTTGCACCCCTACTAGTCATGATACTACCTCCTACCCAAGGTCAAACAGCTGCCAAGAAAACCCCAGCTGACCCCAAGGGTGGGCAATTACCGAGCAGCAAGAGACCCTTATGGACGTAGTTCCTGAACGACTGGTGGAAGAAAACCCCAAGCCGTAAGGGCAGTATTTACAGGGCATCTAGAGAAGATGGCCCTAGGCGCATGCAGCCCTAGTACTTAGAAAATTATTCCTGGCTCGCACTCCGCCACACAGCAGACCACCACCACCACCAGGCACAGCACCGCTCTTAGCACACTCGTTAATCTTAAAATGTACTGACTTTTGTACATTTCTTACTATGACAATTTAGTTTCCTTCCCCTTTTTATTCAAATACCACAGAATATAAATATCAACTGACATTGCAGTACACGAGAACAGTCTTACCTTTATGACAGAAGTCGTACTGTGTTGTCCATGGTAAGTGAGGAAGTGGAGAGGCAACATCGAGAACTGTGAAGCCAACCTGTTGAAAGTAGCAAGGTCTTGTGGAAGAGGAGCTCCACTAAATTGCTGAAGCATTACTTCACACAGTCGTACAATGCTCACTTCAAAGCTTCCCCATAATGTTTTCACCTGTCAAGTAAAATATGTTTAAGAGCTAAGTTTAACTTCTACAGTATTGTATAACATAGGCAAAATTTATAAATAACATGTGTAGATAAAGAAAGTTTATTTTATACCAAAACTACAGAGGATTTGCAATGGCTAAAATACACACTAAACATTTTTCTATTTAGCTGGAAATCCAAAGTTTCTCTACATAGTGTTTCATGCATGCTAGTATTAAAATAATCAATTAGAAGGGATGATAATTTTTCTGGGAGGGAAGAGCCCCTCTGGTGGCTTCCTGAAGCAATCTTGCTAAGATTGCTCCATATTAAAAGGTAACATCAGTCATGTAAGTTCTGATTGGCCTACCGAGCACCAGTGCCAGAACATGGCCCTTTTGTCCTTCATAGAGGCAAAGAGGGAATGACAATTCACCATCCCACCTAATAAAGCCTTCATGAAGTCAGAAAAGTGTTACAGACAACTGGACAGTTCAGAGAAAATAAACCCTCAAAACTCCTAAATAACTGCAAACGATTCACACAAAACAAGGGGATCACTCAAACTTAGCTCGAAACTCGATAGTACTCATTACCACCACCAGCTTGCCCCAGTCAGCTCCCCATCTCAGGTCTCAGTTCTACCAATGCGGTGGACTGTGGTGTCCACCACAGAACTGGACAATGCTGTCCAGTTCTGCTCGTAGTATTCAGATCCACCAGCCAAGGATAAACTCCATCGCATAAAAATAAGTGCCTGTCATCCTTCAACTGTGTTTGTCCTCCAGGGGTCATTTGCTTGTTACATTGTTCTTATTTTAGTGCCAGCTTCAAGCACACATTTCCCTTCACATTGCTTCAATATTTTCTCATAGATACATCACGTTAGTGTGATTACGTTGTGTAAATATTATAATCTAACGTGCCAGGACTGACTAACAAATCTGCCGACGTGTATGAACACTGACATGAAAACCAAGGAAGGGAATACATGTGTTATTCTCTCCTGCACCCCTGACCTTGGAGAGCAACAACATGGTTTAAAGCACTCTCATGATACCACACCCCATAACAACATTGCTCAGCCTTCTAGAGACATAACTGCACACAACTAGCAAGAAAGACTGCCAGGAAATGATTTATTTTTGTATTAGCTTATGTAATAAGACTGATATCATTATCACTGTATTTTGGTCAAAGATGATGGCACCTGATAGAGCTTTGACATAACCATTGACAAGAGGTTACATAAGTTGGTATTATGTAGTGGTTGGTATAATGGGAGGAGACATGATACAATGCATCAGTGTGGCCACCTGTGATTGACACAGGTGAACACCGCTTTCTTCTTTTGTGTCACAGAGTGAGGGAGCTCGACCATCGTGTTCTGCAGTCATTAGAACCCTTGCCTACTTGAAGTAAACTGGACAAACCCAAATTTTTATCCCTGACGAATCTCTCAAACACTTTCTTGAGAGCAAGGAAAGTTGAGTAATACATTACAATATATCTGAAATAGGACACTAACAGGCTAGCTGCAGTACTGTCTGAACCCACGTATCTTCTATGATTCTCATAGGAGTCAAATGTTATGTAAAAGAACTCTATTCATGCAATTATATTAAAGAAGCTATAAGAAGTGTTACTACTCTTGTAACAAATTTGACTAACCCCTTGACTGCAGAGATCAAGGGAATATTCTGCCATAAATGTGGTCTTGCCTGAACCAGTGGGGCCTGTTAATACAGTCATTTCCCCTGGTCGGTGGCCCAGTAGAAGTGCATTAAGGTCTAAAAATCTCTTCCATGGTACACCATAAGTCTGAAAGTGAAATGAAATGAATTATTCCTAATTATATTTAGGATAACTATAACAGTAATGGAATATGTTGACATACTGAATAAAAAATAGATTTGAGAAAATTTAATTACTGTATTGTACAATACTTTATTGTCAAGACTTCCCTTAATACACAAAATGTGGTTGATCCAACAAAATATTTGTCGATCTTGGAAGGCATTCATAGTCACCTACGCCATGCATATGTCAATACAAACCAACATTAAGTCACAATAACGTAGCTGAAGACATGATGACCAAACCCACACATCAGAAGTTGGAGAAACGACGACATTTGGGTCCGTCCTGGACCATTATCAAGTTGTATCACATACAACGTGATAATGGTCCAGGGCAGACCGAAACGTCGTCGTTTTTCCATCTTCTGATGAGTGGTTTGGTCATCAACCATCATGAAATATCCTTTAAAAATATAAATGTTCCTCTCCACAATACAATGCAAACTCAGTTATAAGCCTTAAAAATCCACAAAGAATTTGCTATCAAAACAATATTTCAAGATAGAAACAGAGGCCAGAACTATTAAATGTAAAGAGAAAATCTGGTCCAACAGCAGCAATAATGCAGTACTCGGAAACAGCATTTTACATTTTTTTTTTACTAAATTTTTGGCTTAGCAGTAAATATTTTTGAAAATACAAAATTTGCTAGAAACCATTTGCTGTGCAATACAATATACAGGATTGTGGCATCATGGCATCATGGACACAGCAACATACTGTAGTATAAAATAGTAGTAGTAGCGATCATATATAATCCCCGAATGCTCGCGGTGACACAAGCAAATGAACAACAGAGACATTAGAAAGAGCATTTTCAGTGTCAAGAGTAGTTAACAAATAGAATGCATTAGGCAGTGATGTGGTGGAGGCTGACTCCATACACAGTTTCAAATGTAGATATGATAGAGCCCAATAGACTCAGGAACTTGTACACCAGTTGACTGATAGTTAAGAGGCGGGACCAAAGAGCCAAAGCCTAAGCCTCTCAAGCACAATTAGGCGAGTACACAGCAGGAAGTCCAGGGAAATGGAACTTGAGGAAAGGAGGGAGAGAGAACAAGCAACAATGTGAGCAAAAGAGAACAAGGAGAATTGGGTCAAGAGAGAAAAAAGGGAGAGGGGAAGACAGAAAGGGAAGGAGAAATGGAGGGAGGGAGAAAGGGATGGATGAAGAGAAGGGAAGGGAACTATCAGGACAAAGCACTAAGCTATCATGACTATATAGCATTTGTATGAGATCAGGATAAGGATGTGGGGAAGGAATGGTGCCAAATCACTTGGACGTCGGGGATTGAACGCCAACCTGTATGAAGCAAGACCGTCCAGCACAAGTGGTTGGGCGAGGAAGAGAGGAAGAAAAATGGGAGAATGGTGCGGAGGAAGAGAGAATGGGAGGGAGACAATGGGAAGAATGGTGAAATAGACAAGTCAGACAGACCCAGGCACTGCCAGATACCCCATCAAGTAAAACTGATTCTTTATGCAATTATAATAGTTCAACACAAAAAGACATTTAAGCTATCATGCCCAGTTTGTAAATAGCACAACATGCTTATATTTTATTCAGTACATATGCATCACGTGTATACAGTATGTCAATGTAAACAAAGATTTAAAATACCTTAATTTTGGCTAAAAATATTATAAAAATATAAGCGACCCTTATATACAGTACTGTAATGTGGAGGTTATGTTCCTGGAAAATGGCATGTTATCTAGTAGACTACTATATAACCTGAATAACATATTGAAGAAAAAAAAGGGTTATGTTACAGGAAAAGTTGATATGCCATATACATGTATATATACTTTATCCAAACTGAAACTGTGTGAAGGTGGTGTTGATAGATTTGTGCCTGAGGAAGTGGTAGAGTCTGTATGTGTGTGTGGGGTACCTGGGGTAAATGGGAATGTCTCAGTTAATAACTACTGTTTTGTCACCTGTACAATTCATGCTAGCACAGATAAATAGTTAAAGTAGGGAGATGTATAAAAGCGAGACCCTTGTTTTCCATGTACTTGAAACTTTTCCAAAACACTTAGAAACTTTCAAGACCCCCTAACAATCAGTTGCAGTATCAAATGACAATTTTGTAAGAGCAAGTATACACAGCACACCAGTAATTAGGAAATATGAAGCAAAATTACCTCTTCCCTGTTGGTGAGTCTCTGATAGATTTTATCCTTAAGTTGCTGGAAAGTGATGGCGGTCTCTGAAAAGACCGGGATGGTATCTTTAAGAGCAGCCTGGATTTCTTCTAATGACTTGGTATGCACTGGACCATCATTAGATGAACTGAAAATATAAATTATGATTAGTTTCCATGTATTTGTTAATTTAAAAAAAATCCCAGTGTAAGCACTGTGTATTTTAGGTTAGGTAATGTGAGTCACATTGTATTTGTAATACAATAAAATGCAACAATCACTCCTGACGTAAACATAAGCAATTATAGATTAATTCATGTATTGTTGATTTTGTGTACTTACTGTACAGTAAATTTCTTTAAAACAAGAATATAAATTTTAGCCATAATAATCATCAAGACTAAATAATTCCCATCATTTTCCATGTCTGAGAAATTGTTATATCTAAGGAGGTCAGCAATTGCTCTATTTAATAGAGAAAGTTGTTTCAGGGATTCCGACAGAATGGCATCCATGGCAAGCCAGAAAGAAATGGTTACCAGACAAAGATTGATTCAATGTAACAAGAGTACTCATTATACCATGACACTCAAGATACAAAATAACAACTCAGTATGCATACCGATACCCCACATTATATACAATGCTTATATTTTTCATGCCTTTAATAAATATTAGTATCAATACTTTTTTCTGGATGAGCCTCTTTATGGCTTCCTGAAGCTGCTATCTTGCTGAGATGGCATCCCACTACTGAGTCACATCAGCCATAGGAGTCCTCTTTGGCATATCAGGGACCAGAGCCAGAATCTGCCCCTCTCAAAGAGGCACAGGGAGCCGAGGACTGTTATGATCACCCACATCAAGAAAGTATCCAGAAACTCAGCAAAGCAATGCAGACAAGGCTCACAGAAAATGAAAAACCAAAACAGCCAAACAACTCATTCAAAACTAACTGGCTCATTTAAAAAGTAACTCGAACCCCCTAATGCTAATGACCTCCAACAGGTCATTAGCATTAGCTAGTACTGTTGCCGATATAGCAATCTGATTTTCCTGAGCCTCCAAGCCATAGCAAGTCCCACTTCACGGCCATCCTTTGGACTTTGCCCTTTGGGGGCCATTTGCTTGAATATTGTTTTTGATCTTTACTATGTACTTCACAAGTGTGTGTTTACAAGCCTCAAGTCTTGCATGGATTAGTCTAATTTGCACTATGAGTTGCAGGTGTTTAGAGCCACCCTTCTCTAAACATTTGTTCAGTGTTTACCCTGAACTGACAGTGACTCCTTCGGTTTGGTGCATTCAGAAGTTCACCCTTGAGAGGCAAGGACATCAGGGAGAAGAGCCTCACTCTAGGTAGAGCACGAGTCATTGACTCCTCTGTGGGACCCTGCAGTTGAGTGGGTCCTCTTTGTTTTGTTGTGGAATGTATTAGTGGTTGTGCACTGGTTATGAGGTATGAGTTACAAGGAAAGGCTAAAGGGAATTAAACCTCACATCCCTGGAAGATAGAGGAGCTACGGAAGACATGATCACCACCTACAAAATTCTCAGAGCAACTAACAGGGTGGATAAAGACAAACTATTTAGCTTGGGTAGAACACGAATAAGGGGACACAGGTGAAAACTTACTCAAATGAGCCACAGAGACGTTAGAAAAAAAATTAATGTCAGGGTAGTTACCAAGTGGAATTCAATAGGAAGTGATGTGGTGGAGGCAGACAACATACACAGTTTCAAATGTAGATATGATAGAGCCCAATAGGCTCAGAAACCTGTACACCAGTTGATTGATGATTGAGAGGCAGGACCAAACAACAGAAGTTCAACCCTCACAAGCACAACTAGGCAAGTACTTGTTTATACAGCATGCAGAGGTCACTTTATAGGCAAGTTTATCCTGTAGGCTGCATTTGGTGTCTGTGTTTCTGGAAAACATCGTTATTGGCTCGGAGTCTGGTTGGTTACAGTCTATCAGACCCTGGCAACTCTCCCTGTGAGTCTGCATTGTGGCTCGTAATGTATTGATCTGTTGAGCCCACACGTTACGTAGGAGTTTGAAGGGTGCTTATTAGCCTTCCTACATGCCAACAGCCATTCTGTCTCTGCCATACTCCTTGCTCAGTCAGTGACACCTTCGACCCCGAGTCCTGCGATGTTTGCACTCATTGCGTCTCTATATTTTCTGAGCCTATCTCAAAACAGAATTAACAGGCAGCTGCCGCTTTGTGGGCCCATTTTTCCCACATCATGGTTCGCAGCATGGTATTTGATTGTATGCCTCAGAGTTGGCTCTTACTGTGTTTATAGACTCAGAGTTGGAGGGGTTGGTAAATTATAGTCTACTTTTACTCTAACAAATTGTACAATACCTGTACACTCAGAATAATGCATGAAAGTGGCTTCTTCCGTGATCTACCCAGTACAACTGGACTGAATGTGTCTTGACTCTCTCCTCCTGTGGTAGTGTGGTGTTACCACTCATTATTCAAGGAGTTTCTTTTTTAATTTTTTCTTGGAATATTTTATTATTTGTGAGTAGATAAAATATTCACAAGCAAGTTGAGCTAAATTATGAAGGGAGAGAGGTCCCTTAATATATAATAAAAGGCAAAATTTATTGATAAGTGAGCATGACTGGGGTGTGTATACAAGTATTCTGCTTATATTAGAATACTATTACTGGTACTCTATAATACTAAGCTTCTTCAAATTCGGTAAAATGTACAGTTAATCTTTCTATTGGCCATAGACTAAAGTATTTACAATGCAATGTTTACATATTATTTGTGTGTGTAACCATGCACAGATATTTTCTATTATTTGTTGTAAGAAAAATAAAACATTTGGCAATAATAAATGAAAAATGTGATACAATGGAATATTTTAGAGTATGGAATGATTGCAGTGTCAATTAGTCCATTCTATTGTGGTTACACTTAACAACTGTGGTCAGTCACAAGGGGTCTTTTACAGGCACCCATGATTCAAACACAGTATACAAGGGCCTCTCACTTACTAAACATTCATCCTTTGTTTGTTCATCTGTGCACCTATTCTTTTGCACTAATTGTTCAGTACAGTACAGTACTGAAAAATTTCAAGCCACGGGGAATAATTCTGATCCCATGATCAAGAAGAATTAATAGAGTATTATTTAGAATATACAGAACCATTCACTACATGTCAACTTACCATCTAAATTAAACCACTCCATTAAGAATACAACCAGAAATGTACAAACTCTGCATTCCACTTGACTTACTTAGGCCAATGCTCAGAAAACATTAATATTACACTGCTTTAATTTTACTAATAGGTTTGCATTTCTGACCAATTGGTCAATTCTGTTGAAAATATGACATATCAGGTGAGAGGATAGGTTGGAAATGTAATGATAGGGTTTTGTGTACTTACTTAACCAGTGAACAGGATACTCCTGCCTGAAGGAGAGACATGAGGAGTGGCCGAGGTGGAGCTTCTCCACAGTACCACAATACCACCTCATTCTTTCCACAATTGATTAAATACTCTTCAAGTGCTTCAGCATCTTAAATAAAATATATTTATTAAAATTTACATTTATATTGTGCACTGTATTAGGAGAACATTATGAATCACATTTGCCAAATTTAGTAAATTAAGTAAATTGGGTAAGTAAAGCCAAATTTACTTACCCAAAGAAACACCTGTGTGTACTTCTCCTCAGAACCATATCCTTAGCTTTCACTCAAGCATTCCATCAATTACAATGTAATTGATGGAATGTAATTACAATGTAATTAAGTTTAATACTGTGTAAGTATTATACTTAATACTTACACAGCCAAGAACGATGATGGTTGTTTGAAAAATAAAATCCCAAACTGTCATGCAAATACCTTCTACAAAATATATGTACATAACTAAATTTTCTATGTAATATATGAGATATTTCAAGTAATGATACTGGTTAGTTGCAATATGATTACACAGTATTTCCTCAACCCTTGATTGTAACCAAGATATTTCAATATAAGAACATAAGAATGAAGTTAACTGCTGAAGGCCTATTGGCCCACACGAGGTAGCTCCTATTTATATGCACCCAATCTCATTCATATGCAGTATGTCTAACCTACGCTTGAAACAATCAAAGGACCCCACCTCCACCACGTTACGCGGCAATTGGTTCCACGAATCAACAACCCTATTACTCACCCAGTATTTACCCACATCTTTCCTAAATCTAAACTTATCCAATTTATACCCATTGTTATGTGTTCTGTCTTGTGTTGATACTTTTAATACCCTATTAATATCCCCTTTGTTATGTCCATTCATCCACTTGTACACCTCTATCATGTAACCCCTAATTCTTCTCCTTTCTAGCGCATATAATTTGAGCTTTGTCAATCTTTCTTCATATGATAGGTTTCTAATTTGGGGGACTAACTTTGTCACTGTATGCTGGACGCGTTCTAGTGAATTTATATCCATTCTATAGTACAGCGATCAAAACTGAACTGCATAATCTAAATGGGGCCTAACCAGAGCCAGATATAGCTAAAGAACAACACCAGGTGTCTTATTACTAACGCTTCAATAAATAAATCCCAGTGTCCTATTAGTCTTATTACGAACATTTATGCACTGATTTTTTGGTTTTAAATTCTTACTAATCATTACTCCAGATCCCTTTCGCAATCCGACTTCGCAATCTCAACATTATCAAGCTCATATCTTGTACTGTATCACCACCACCTAGCCTCAAAACCTTACATTTGTCAGCATTAAACTGCATCTGGCAATCTTTTGACCATTTCAAAACCCTGTTTAGATCGTCTTGAAGTGATAGCAAATTTTTTTCTGTTCATTTCCCTCCCGATTTTTGTATCATCGGCAAACTTGAAAATATTGCTGCTCAAACCTGAATCCAAATAATTTATATATACTGTATTATGAATAACAGAGGTCCCAGGACAGAGCCTTGAGGCACTCCACTTAAGACATTTTCCCACTCTGACTTAACCCCATTTACACTAACTCTTTGCTAGATATGGTATCTCAATCCTTTAATTACCAGACTAACAATCCTTCCTTAGTTATGCTACTTTACTCTTCTACCTCTCTTCTCTCCCTCATTACTCTATTTACCTTCCATACTTCCATTGTTATCCAAGACTCCTCCAAAGTATTGAATATTTACTACTTATCCCAATATCTATCTATCTCTCTCCCATTTTGATTCTAGTTCAAATCACTCTTTCTTGCCACTCAATAAGCATCTACAATATCTACATTCTATTTGCTTCTCTCAAATACCATAATTTGACTTTTTCCTACAAAAACCTACAAATTTCTTTTGCATTCACTACCAAACACATTCACAATCTTTTGCACACAATATCAAATACATTCACAATCTTTTGCAATACCTAATCATTCTCAGCTAAGAATATATACTAAATTGTTAAACACTCAAAATGGCTTAATAACATACTTAAAGTAGGAGAATAAACAAGCCGTCCTTATGCCTCTGTCTAAATTACATAAAATATAAATTGGACAGTAACAAGAATCATTATGGTAACTGCCTAAAGCCTATATGGGATTTGTACTACAATCTACCTATCCTTCTACTGTGTTTGTTTTGTTGCTGGTCTGTGTGTTTCTTCCTGTGTCTTTGTCTCACACAATTTCAGGTTGTGTAACCATAGCCTATCGTGGTCCACTGGAAAGGTGTGCATCTGGGGGTTATCCTGAGGTTATCTTGAGATGATTTCAGGGCTTAGCATCTTCACGGCCCGGTCCTCGACCAGACCTCCTTTTTTTTACACCCCCCCCAGGAAGCAGCCTGTAGCAGCTGTCTAACAGGGGCATCAGGGTGAAATAAACTCTGCCCATGTGCCTCCACCGGGAATCGAACCCAGAACCTCAGGACTACGAATCTGAAGCGCTGGCCACTCAACTGTCAGGCCCCCCTCAGCTGGTGTGACCTAGGATGCTGGTACAATCCTGCCATCCTGCTCCTAAGATTATCTCAGATATATACAGTAGATCACATTATTGTGAGTTCATTGTGTAAGATCACACATATCAATCCCTTCGCATCAAAATGAATATTTCTGAAATTAGTAAAAAAGAGTAGTAATAAAACAGGCTAATTAGTAATAATGCTGAATAATTACCACACATGGAAAGTCAGTTATTGAAAATATCTGGCATTAATATTTCTTGAATAAAACAGCAGGAGAATCAATATACTGCACTATATTAGTTGCCAGGTGTGTTCTTTTATAAGGGAAATAAATTTTGTTAGGTTGTAATTGACTTAGTCAAGTTACATCTCATTAAGTGTAGATAACAATATACATAGTGATACACTGAGAAATATAAGGTATTAGATTTACACATAGGTACTGTATATGTATATTCACCCACATACATACTGTATATAGACATATATATATATATTGACTTATCCTGAGATGGTAACAAAGGATGGGCGAGGTGAAAAACTTTGCAAAACTTGGTACGCCATGGCATGAGTTGTCAAGGAAAAACTAACAGAACCTGTGTGCCATCAACACTTAATGCACTGAAGCATATTTCCAAATTTAAAATGTTTTATTAGAACTATATTATTAGAAGTAAAATTTGGAACTGTATTTACTTGTTTAAAGAAATTAACTGGATCACGAATACTGTACAAAGAAATAACATGTACATGAAAGGTCACTTACCAGAAGAAGGAAGAGAAACAGCAGAGATATTGTGCTCAGCTAAGACTAAGACATCACAAGAGGTTGGCACCACTATCACTTTCTGCTGTCTCCTACTTCTCTTTACTAGCCCAAAGGCTTTCCGCTCGCCAATAACATACCTCCGTATAATCTGACAAGAGAAATTAATGGTGTCAAATAAAAACAAGTCTTCACAATACTGTAAAGCTGAAGGGCACTTCAAACAGAACCAATTCATTTCTGCCTAAGGTGCTATATAACTATATAAACTAGTGTGCTATATAACTAGAATCATGAACAGTCAGACAGGATGATATCCTGGCACCAGATTTCAAAGCTTAATCTAGCCCTAAATAACTGACAGAGGAATCATTCAAAAAAACAAAAAGCCCTTCTGAACCCAGCCATTGATGACCACCAAGAAAAAGCTCTCATTGATTCCCAACTGCTGTGCCTGACCACCTGAACTGCTTCAAGGTGGCAGTAATAAATTATCTCTAGGTTCTCAACCTTGAATACTCATCACTAATTTCCAGAAGTAAATATCTATGAGTAAATGGGAAGCAGGATTGAAGAGAAGGGATGAAAAGCAACCCAATGATTCTTCTCAAAAAGGTGGGTTTACATTAACTCAAAGACTCATTTCTGAGCATTCAATTCTTTGTCTGGATAATGTGAGAATTCCCTCCCCCCCATTTTTTTTTTTTTTTTTTTTTTTAAGTAAAGAGGAGGGAGAGGCATAGGTGAAGGAAAGTTTAGAAGTGGGAAATACAGTGAGAGGTATGAAAGCAGGCGGGCTGTCTGCCTTGCTGACTATCAAAAACACCAGCGTTGAATGTAATGAAATGACATTTTCTGGGCGAGACCCGGAGGCTCCCTGGAGCTACCCTGGCTGATGTAAATGTATTAAACCCTGGCATCAGTCAAGCAAATGGAGTTCTTAGGCCTACCGGGGACCACAAGCCAGAAGCTGGCCCCCTCAGAAGGGCACGAGGAGCAATGGCCTATATAAACCCCCACGTGATTGGAAACATTCTATGTATGACATCGACCAGGTCAGAAACCTAGAAAGGTAGGCACCCCAAAACAAACCCTATCTGCTTAAAATATTGCTACTGAAAGCTGAACTGTTGGACAGAACTCTCCAAACTTAAAACGAGCAAACGAGCATGGCGTCACAAGTCACCGTGCCACTGTCTGTGCAGCTCCAGGGTCACTCGCTCCTGGGGGAGCTCCAGACCCCCTGCGCAGGCTATCCACCCCCAGCTCAGAGGCTGGATGTCAAAAACCACAAATAACTGCTGACCAGAGGGAAGGAGGGTTGCTGGGAAGCCTTCGGGTCTCACACAGAAAATGGCATTTCATTACATTTAACGCAGGTTTTCTAGGGGAAGCCCCTTCGGCTTCCCGGAGCTACTTAAGAGAAAACAAGAGGGATTTACCCAGGAGGCAGTCGTCACTCGCTCCTCAACTTGAAGTCGAGACGACTGGCTGCAACCAACGACCCAAGATTACACATGCCCAAGTAGAGCCAGGAACATTAACAAGGTACCGTGCGGCCAGGACCCTGTTCGATGGCCAAAATCCCCGCGCTCGAATGTCAGCCCAGGACATGCTACCAAAAACAGCAGCCAAGGCTGCGAACATACGAACATCGTAGGCATGGGAATAGACCACAGGCTGGCTGGACCGAACAACCCTGTGGACGACCTGGAAGACCCACGCCTTGTAACAGGAAAGAAGGGAAACTGGGTCCACCCAAAGTGCGTCCCCAGTCACTGAGGCCGTGGTGTGCAAGTAACGGTGAAGAACCGCAACCGGACACAAGACATGATGCACCCACAGCCAAACCAACCAAGCATCAACAACCCAAGGAGCCCTCCGGAAAGTTGCAGTCTCATTCTTCGTCAGAAAAGAAGGAAACGGCTACAAACAAACAAACCTACAACCAGGATCGAAAGAGCAGAAACCCCTGCACCGGAGGAGAGCATGAAGCTCCCTTAAGGTTTAAGGGAGTCGGTCGGCCGAGCGGACAGCACGCTGGACTTGTGATCCTGTGGTCCTGGGTTCGATCCCAGGCGCCGGCGAGAAACTATGGGCAGAGTTTCTTTCACCCTATGCCCCTGTTACCTAGCAGTAAAATAGGTACCTGGGTGTTAGTCAGCTGTCACGGGCTGCTTCCTGGGGGTGGAGGCCTGGTCAAGGACCGGGCCGCGGGACACTAAAGCCCCGAAATCATCTCAAGATAACCTCTCAAGATAACCTCCCTGACCCAACCCCCAGAGACCAATGCCAACAAGAAAAAGAGCCTTAGAAAAACAATCCAGAACCAAAGGGGCCACCACAAACTGAGAAGAGAGAAAAGAGAGCCCATGGTTCAACGTCCAGAATGGCTCAGGTGGCGCATGAGCAGGCTGGAGGAGAAACAATGCACGAAACCACTTGCGGAACAGAGCACAAGTGACATCTATTCTGAACGCAAGCAGGAGTGGCTATGCCAGCGCCACACGATACGAGGTGACGGTATTCGACACAAGATGACGGTCCTGAAACAGCCAAAAGAGAAGGGACAAAACAACCTGATCAGAAATCGAAGACATCCTACTTAGAAACAAAAAGACAAAAGGACCGCCAGGAAACTTCATACTGCCGCCGAGATGAAACATGAAGGTGGGACACCACCAACGAAGCCACCTGATCACCATACAAATGGTGATAAACCCACGTCAGTAAAACCAGATGCGAAGATCGGAGGAAATGATTGAACTAGCCACAGACCGGACTGGACCGATCTGCTGAAAGAGGCGGAGCCACAGAAAGAACTCTGGGTTCGAACACCGAGCAAACAGCGCCTGAAACCAAGGCTGGGCCGGCCACCAAGGGGCTAACAGGACTACTCTCCCAAGTAACTAACAGGACAGCCCCTCCAGGTTAGGAGAGCCCCTCCTAACCTGGAGGAGCTCTCCATAGAAAATCTCATATGGTGATTGGCACACAAGAGATAATTACAAATAGCAATTGAAGCAGTGCAAAGGTTAATGGCTGTAGGGATAATCCAGGTACAATCTAGGACACTTAAAAAAATTGCAGACGATTAGTCGCAATAGCGTGGCTGAAGATATGATGACAAAATCGACTTTATAATGGTCCAGAATGGACCGAAACATCATCATCTCTTCATCTTTTAGTGTGTGGTTTGGACATCACTTGAAAAGATTCCTGTGATCCCAATGCCATTTAATGTTATCCTGCCTAACACTGCACAATACTGGTTGTATGACACAGGGACTGCTTACCTTAGGAAGCAACCATACATGATAGCTCAGCAAAATTAATTGAATTCAAAGATGCTCAATTTGTTGAGAAAATCGGTAGGAGCCATGAGGAGAATTCGATCCTATTCACTTGATACTCCCAAGCAAACACCTTGGACCAAAACACTGTGGGTGTTTGCTCGGGAATACCAAGTGAGTAGGTTTGAATCCTCCTCACGGCTCCTACCGATTTTCTCATTGATACATCACATTAATGTGATTTCATTGTGCACTTAATTTATTACCATATGCAGAGTAATGGGCAATATAATATATTATACATGTCTGAGAATGTTCATAAAATTTGTCTAAACTTTAAAATGGAGCTATAATCAAAACTGTCACCTTGCTGGTGTTTTATAATTATATACAGTGGAACCTTGAGTTACAAATGCCCTACTTACAAATTTTTTTGGTTACATCCCCATTTTCCTCCAAAAATTCAAATCAGGTTACGACCTTTGCCTCACCTTGCGACTTTGTTGATACACGTATGGGTCGACTGAGTGCGTGGTTCCTGGTGGCATGGGTGACCTCGCTTCAGTTTACCAGACCGCCCACTTAGTGATGAATTCTTTGTAAAGAATTTCCTTGTTTTTGTGCTTTTTTGTTATTTGAACATAAAAGTAATCATTATATATCATGCCATGGGTCCCATGAAAATCAGTGGTAAGGTTCAACCTAAGAAAAGACATGTGAGGATGACCATAGAGGAAACACAAGAGATCATTCGAAAACATGAAGATGGTGTGAGGGTTGTTGATCTAGGTTCTTGAAAGGTTCTTAGTGAGAAAAACAAGCAGTGAGCCACAACCAAGTCCTGGTGGTATGCAGGCAAAACATAGGAAAGAGAGTACCTCAGAGAAGTCATCACTGCCTGATGTTATAATGGAAGGGGACTCCCCCGCCAAACAGTAACACCTCTTCTCCTCCACCCCCCCTCCTCACTGTCTTCCATACGCCAACAAGTAATCAATAAAGGTAAGCTATAAATTGGACATACTATAGTACAAAATATGTGTGTGTGTGTATTATGTATGAAATGTATTTTGAAGTTAATATTTTGGGGAGTGTGGAACGAATTAATTCAATTTACATTAATTCTTATTGGAAAATTCGTTTCAAGTTATGAATTTTTGGATTACGACCAGTTTCTGAGAACGGATTAAATTCATAAGCCAAGGTACCACTGTATCTGTACACAAAACGTAAGGAAAATAAAAAATATATAATATAAAAGTAATAGTAGTATGAAATTATATCTTCACTACTCTTTGAAGATTAATTAAGTATTCACATCTGCCTACAAAATAAACAAATGTAAATAAGGGATGATAGAACGTGATAAAGTTGTGAATTATTCTACACAGTGATACAGAATAATGAATACAGATTAAGGGTATAAACAAGGATGAAATTGAGGAAGGCATAAGTCCAAGGAAGTCAAAATGAAGGCAAGGGATGAAGTGTATGCACAATGACGTGAGAACTATCAGCGTGGACAAGTTCATGAGGGGCGAGAATTAAGAGATGGGTACTGACAGACATTATACATGAGCTACCATCTTACTGAAGATGGTGTAGCCTACAGGATAGAGAGAATATGATTAAAACATGATCACTAATGCTTGGTAATAAAGTAACCCACTCTTTTTTGAATAATATTCTACAACATGAATAATAAGATTAACTTTTTTACAGATTCATTTTAGAAAAAGTATCTAAATAAATATTTCACCTGAGGGAAGTAGTGAAGGAGGGAGATACTTTCAAAGCCAACTACTTCACTTTGGCGGTTGGTAATGGGCACTACTACCCGAGTTTCGTCGCTTGTAACCCTTGCACCAAATTCCTTCAGGGTACAAATACTAACATTCTGCAAAATAAAACACAAAGGTAAATGAATGCAATGCATGAAATTTTATATACATCATGAAATATGATGTTAAGTTTAATATTATCTGGAATCAACACCCAAGCCAGGCAGGCAGTGGGAGTTGTTGCAAATATAGTTATACTGTACTGATTTATTTAAACGCCACTGTTATGTTTTCTCTTGTTTTTTCCCGTTACCAAAAACTTGCAGAGAAATTTTTATCATAAAAAGTTTGGAACATTGATACACACAAATATAATAATGTCACTAATGTGAAAGTGACATGAAATCAGTCCAGCAACCAGGAGGCCTAGTCGACGACCGGGCGGCGGGGACGCTAAGCCCCGGAAGCACCTCAAGGTAACCTCAAGGTAAGGTAAGGAGGCTGCGGGATGCACGGCCTGGAGGCCACAGGATGCACAGCCTGCAGGCCACAGGATGCACAGCCTGCAGGCCACAGGACGCACAGCCTGCAGGCCACAGGATGCACAGCCTGCAGGCCACAGGATGCATAGCCTGCAGGCCACAGGATGCACAGCCTGCAGGCCACAGGATGCACAGCCTGCAGGCCACAGGATGCACAGCCTGCAGGCCACAGGATGCACAGCCTGCAGGCCACAGGATGCACAGCCTGCAGGCCACAGGATGCACAGCCTGATGACCACAGGATACACAGGCTGTGATTGGGGCACACAGTAGCCCCAATAGATTGAGTAGTTGACAAATAGAAGAATGCTTTATGAAGTGATGTGGTGGAGGCTGACTCCATACACAGTTTCAAATGTAGATATGATAGAGCCCAATAGGCTCAGGAACCTGTACATCAGTTGACTGACAGTTGAGAGGTGGGATCAAAGAGCCAGAGCTCAACCCCAGCAATAACACAACCAAGCAAATACAACAACTAGGTGAGTACAGCCTGCAGGCCACAGGGTGCAAAGCCTGAAGGCCATGAGGCACACAGCTTGATGGGCACAGGGCCACAGCTTGATGGGCACAGGGCCACAGCTAGATGGGCATAGGGCCACAGCTTGATGGGCACAGGGCCACAGCTTGATGGGCACCGGGCCACAGCTTGATGGGCACAGGGCCACAGCTTGATGGGTAAAGAGCCCACAATCTGAAAGGCATGGGGATGTGTGGGTGGGAGGGGGGTGTCCTCAGGCTGTGTGCCCTGGAGCCTGCAGGCATGGTGACACAGCCTGAGGACATGGGGGACACAAGCTGAAAGACATGGTGGGGACCATCTAAAGGGTATAGGGCACACAGCCCAAGGGGCATGTGGCACAGAGCCTGAAGGACATGGGGTGCACATCCTGAAGGGCATGGGGTGCACATCCTGAAGGGTCACCGAGACACAGCCCAAATAGCAAGGAGTAGGAAAGGTTTCAGGAAGGGAACTTTTACGTAGGAAACTTTTCAGGCAGATAGCCTGAAAGGCCACGAAATAAGATCCAAGAAAAAGAACTTGGAGAACAGAAATCTCCCAGGAATGTTGACCAGCTGATCCTCTCGTCACCGGCAACCTACAGCACAGAGTTCAAATAATCCAAGGCACAATGCCCCAGAGACCATAGCACAACCACGTTAACCTAGCATTAACTAAACATTGCTTAAAAAATAACATGTTGCACTTACTTTAAGCAAAATGTAACAGTTTTCCCACTGCAATACTATTTCATATATGATGATCAAACTAATATTATACTCCTCACAGGTCTTTGACTGGTAAACCTGTCTTGATTTCTTGATTTTGGATTATGAATGTTTAACTCTAATTACCATATGTATAAATTATAAAACAGTTTCACATGTAATTTGTTTCCATCATTAACAATCGAGTCTTACCTTAAGTGGAGAATCACGTAAGATGTCCTCTCCTACATCAGCAATAGGTAGTAGAGTTGCTAAGTACGCATTAAGTTGCTCTATCGTGAGAGAATCTTCTCGAGAATTTAGGAGATGCATCAGCTCCTCCCAGGGTCCATCTCGATTGCACCATGGACACACAAAGTAGCCTGTCAGCAAAATTTTGTGTTTATAACGTACCCTTTAACCAGACATACTCCGATTAATGGGGTCAGAGAACCGTAAATTTCTATCTGGATAAACAGAGAATTCAGACAAAAAATTGTGGGGGTTTCTCAGTAATAAAAAATTAAATAATCATATATATAGTCCAGTATGAAGGTTAATAACTAAGTGTCCAGTGACTGGTGACGTTCCTCTCGAGTATCAAGAATTTGAAGGTAGATATTACATGTGCACCAAAAAGAGTTACTGAAAATAATAAGCCTGTGAAAATTACTTGGTATCTTGGATACTTCACAAATCTATACTTTATTATTGCACAGTATATATATATATAATATTTACCCAACTTAAGTAACAGAGCAGGGGTGCCATAGGCACAATCAGAGAACACTGTATAAACATCAGAGGTCCACGGTTGTTCAACATCCTCCCAGCGAGTATAAGAAATATTGCCGGAACAACCGTGGACATCAAGAGAAAAATAGATAATATTTTCCAAGGAGTGCCGGAAAAACTGGGCTGTGGTGGGTATGTGGGCCTGCGGGCCGCTCCAAGCAACAGCCTGGTGGACCAAGTTCTCACAAGTCAAGCCTGGCCTCGAGCTGGGCTTGGGGAGTACAAGAACTCCCAGAACCCCATCAAGCAGGTATCATATATCAAGAGAATTCAATCCAGTAAATTGATTGTAAAAAATAAATATTATAAATTTAAGTACTGTATCATATAGTAATGAAATAAATGAACACCACATAGCAGTTGGTATCTTTAACTTTTTATCCCACAGGATGTGAATTCCAATCCACAACCTCATTGAATTCAATAACTACTGTACTATATCCTGTACGCTCTGTACACAGGTGATCATTACACTATGATATGGCCACTATACAGCACAAGTCAAAACTATGGAATAAAGAATAATAAATTGTTGTTCCAGGCTACAGCATCAGATACTAACCTGAATTTTTATCGACAAAAATCTCTTGGACCCGTGTTTCACTATCTTTAGTTGAGCAGGAGGGACACTGAACAGTGAAACTTGTGTCTGTCTCTTCATATGGTATAAGATGTGAAGTTAAGAAGTCGACAATGTCGTCTTCCATGTCATTAGCGAGAACATTTTCCATCTCATCATCGAACAGATCATCATCGACACTAGCCACTTCACTTATGCTGCCCTGCAAGTACTCTGGAATATCCTGCCTTAGCACACTAGTGTGAACTCTTCTGACTTGAGGCATATGCCAAAAATGTTTTACCATCCCATAATTTGTTCTTCTATTAGGGAGCAAGCACTCACTTTTTTGGAGAACATTGTTACGTATTAATTGCAACTGTAGCCTATGAAATAAAAGACAACGGGTATTCGAGCTTATTTTTGAAGGGAACTTTGTTGTTTGATGACTATGTTGCAGTGTGTGGATTCCAAAATATGCAATTCCTTCAGAAACATTGCGAGTGGCACATGTGCAGGTCAGATGACGTTTCAGGAACTGTGTCAAGGTAGAAACTTTTTGGTACGAGAGGGTGTGCTTCGGTAATCCCCACATCTTCGAGAAAGCTTTGAGCAGCATTTTTAAATTTTAGCTCCAACCCCTATAAAGAAAAAAACTTTGGTAATCATTGGCTAATTACAGAGCATTTGCTTTCTTAATACACCATATCTGGAAACAAGAAATTCACATGAGCTATAGGATTATAATAACCTACTATGTATCTGTAAGAGTAGTTACCAAGTGAAATGCGCTAAATTGGGAGGAAATGTGTTTTGCTCCATATTCAGATTTAAGACTAGGTATAAGTAATAAGAAGGTTGGGAGCCATTGTAATAGGTGGCAAGAAACTGAGTGGAGGGACCCAGGAGCTGAGCTCAAGGTTCAGGTTCAGCTTGTGGGCCCACAGCTTCTGGATGAGTTTACCACAATAAAATTTGTGTATTCAAATACCAGTCAGCATTTAAAAACTATTCATCAACTCAGAAGTCAACCAAGTACTGTATTTTGTTTAATGTTTGGGATTAAAGCACTTAATTAGGTAAGGTAGACATTATGTGACAGGATTGGTTTGACATTGTGCAGGCCACTAACTTGGACTGATATTTGTTTACCTTTCTCAAAAAAACAAGAATTTCTGTAACTGAATAACATGGCAGAAGACAATAGCATTTACCTTAAAGATCACAAGAAAATTTATTGAAACCAAAACAACAGTCTATAAACTTGATATGGCTGAAGAACCATACAAATATTTTATTTTCATGGCTTATGCACAGGAAAGCAGTAAAGAATGGTCCTGGTGGAACCTTGACGACGTGTGGATATCCTGACACCTGCATCACTTTGGAGCTGCCGCCAGCTACCAGACATTCTTACTGCCCTTTGGGTCATGATGTTGCCACCTGGCATTCCACTTCAATAATCTGCTTTTTGACATCTAGTGCCATAATCCCCTGGGATCTCAGGGGATTGGCAACATATAGCCTCCGGGATTAAATTTTTCCCAGCTCACAGGAATGACACGGTACATACAGCCCTGTGCTGTCGCTGGCCCTAATCATATAAAAACAATAAAATAAAGAATTCAAAATAGCTTTGCAAATCTAAGATGGTATTCAGTTCCTCAATCCATCAAGTGACAGGTTGAGGCGTTGGTTGCCGACTCACAATCAAATGGCCCACAATTTGACTCCCTGGCAGGACAAGACACTCAAATAGTTCCTTACACCTTATATTAATTTTTTTTTAACAGAGACTGAAAGCCTGTGTTTATGTATATACTGTACTTTAAACTTGTATTAAGATTCCTCCCATGGTCAAACTACTGACCTACCCAAGCATACAACCCCACAACAGTTGCATAAAGTCTGGGGTACCTATTTGCTCCTAGGTGAAGAGATATCAGGTGAACGGAAACATTTCTGTCCTGCCCAGGAATCGTACCAGATCCCAGATTGGGAGCCGAGAACCAAGCCAAAATCTGTAGTCCTATAGCCCAGTAGTCAATGGATTCAACTCGCAATCAAATGGTCTGGAAAACTATTACCAGGCTTAGTCACTCGGCAAGTTTCCTTACACCTGATACCTCTATTTACCTAGCAGTAAACAGGCACCCAGGAGCTAGGCAACTGTTGTGGGTTGCATTTTGTTGAAGGCCAGTAGTAGGCCTAGGGATGGGGGGGGTTTACCTCAATATAATTACTATGCTTCCTGTCCCTACCAACTGCACACTCTGGCACTGTGATAACGAGAGTATAAGCTATCAACGACTTTGACTCTGCTCAGTAACTATGATGTGATATGTTGAAAGTCTTGCCATTGGCTAGAGTAACCTAGGTACACCTGGCAGGCTTGGTGTACCCGACCCGGCACGACCCGGGGCTCCCCAACACTGGACACCACATGGACGCAGTGTTGCCAGATTCGGCTACAAATAGCGAATTGGGCTACTTTTGAGAGCCCCGCGCTTCCAAATTTTGTATTTCGCTACTTGCTACTTTTTGGGCTAATTTAAAAGCAAGATGTGCTAATTTGGGCTATTAATGTTAAGAAACTCAATTATGATTATTTAGGGTCAGATGCAACACAAACAAGCACCCCGCGATAGCAGCCACAGACTGACGATTTAAATGCGAGCACATCACGCAGAGTTTATCCTTTCACGACCACAAAGATCACACTCACTCTTAAAAAATCTTCCACTTACGGGCTTACCTTCTTGCATATATATATAAATAAATAAATAAAGTATTTTGGGCACTCATGTACTTGTGCGCTAGCTGACGTTCATAACTGATCTAGTCTTCAAGGACTAGATTTAGTCAATCATAAAGATAATAATGTTTATTTATTTAGGGGGGATAAATTTCTGGGCACACTGATTAATAATGGGCATCATTAATAATCGTAACATTATATTAATTCATTTTTTTTGTTGTATTAAAAATATAAAATACGAATCAACAACGTTTCACTCGGAGATACCTGAGTTTACCCGAGTATACCTGAGTTTACCTGAGAGCCACTAACACTAGCGGCCTCGACGAGGACAAGAAGCCGACGGCTTGTTGAAGGTCCCCCTATTTGCCTTGGTGATCTTTTCCAGCTGTACTTTAAAACTTAACAGAGTTTTGGCATTTACGGCTTCGGCGGGTAGGCGGTTCCATGGGTTAATATAACCCTGTGGGTGAAAAATCATCTCTTGTTGTCAGTCCTACATTTGTGGCTTCTTGAGCTTGAAACCGTTGCTCCTTGTTTGTGTTACATCTGACCTTCTGAAGAAATTGTCCGGACCAACCCCTCATTCTTATCGGCCTTGCCTACTTCACTATTTGACTTGTTATATGATGAGTTTATTGGATACCACTCCTCCTCTGAATCTCCTCCTCCTCTGAAATACCTGATCAACCAGGCTGTGACTCATACGTCAGGCTGCGAGCAGCCGCGTCCAACAGCCTGGTTGATCAGTCCGGCAACCAGGAGGCCTGGTCGACGACCGGGCCGCGGGGACGCTAAGCCCCGGAAGCACCTCAAGGTAACCTCAAGGTAGGTCCTCCCTCTGGCATTCATTCACTTAGCAACCATTCCACTTCTGGGAGTAGCCTTAGTATACATAGCTTAGTTAACGTCTGTGACTCATTTAACCCATAATTAACTAAGACTATGATTATAAATCTGTCAATCATCGGGAAGAATGTACGATTGCGAGTTACATGAATGTAACTAAGCTATAAATAATTGTAAATATTAATTAATACTAAATAATATTATTTAATAAATTAATCCCAATTCAATGCAGAGTTTTCTTCCAAGCACAGAAACTTGTAAATATAAATACAAGATAATAGATAGATCGATAAATGAATAGACAACTTTCAAATATTGCACCAAGTAATGGTGAGAGGATAAAAACTAGACAGTATACATTACATTTGAAATTAATAATGGATGAATGGTAATAAATTGATGTATGTTTGTATGTATACCAGACAAAGTCCATTTAATGGCAGAATTTAGCCATTTTGTGTAAAAACTTTTATATCTGATATTATTAATTATAACAGTCATAGTTTGTATATACAAGAGATGAAACAGAGAGGCATGAGCTAGAGCAATGTACTGAGTCCATAAGGAGGCCGAGCTTCCAGAAATACCTTCCTGTGATTGGCTGTTGCGGGGAATACCAACACACTTTTATGAATAAAAAAGTCTTTACAGTCTCCGTGGTGTAGTGGTAAGACACTCGCCTGGCGTTCCGCGAGCGCTATGTCATGGGTTCGTATCCTGGCCGGGGAGGATTTACTGGGCGCAATTTCTTAACAGTAGCCTCTGTTTAACGCAACAGTAAAATGTGTACTTGGATGAAAAAACGATTCTTCGCGGCAGGGGATCGTATTCCAGGGACCATAGGATTAAGGACTTGCCCGAAACGCTACGCGTACTAGTGGCTGTACAAGAATGTAACAACTCTTGTATATATCTCAAAAAAAAAAAAAAAAAAAAAAAAAAAAAAAATTAACCTAAGAAATAGGTCCTTGTGAACAACAACAAGGTTGCTGTGAAAAAGAACAACAATTTCTGTTTTGCCCCTGACAGAAACCTCCATCTAACTGAATAATTTACTCGAATAAGAGGGCAGAGCCGTGTATCATTATTTGTGTGAGGCAACCCCCAATAATAACGTCACAAGTTAGGTAGCCAGCAAAGTGTTTCTGTAACACCTGTTACATCCTGCAGTATTTAATTATCACTATATTAATACTTTTAAATACTTAACATTTCACTTTTTAGGTAAATTAAAGTTGAAGCAGAATGTCATAAGCAAGGATGGTGTGCTGAATAAAGGTGATTTATTAAGAGGATGGAGCCTTTAGCTGATCCCTTCCTGTAATTGGCTGTTGTGTGAATGTCAACAAAGAGTTTCTACCAATGATATGCCATATATTATGCACCCCATACCATCTGTGGGCGGAGCTTGGAACCTCCTACCCGAGCACAACAACCCGCCTTATGGGTTGCTGTTTGGCTATTTATAGTGCGTTGGAAAAAAAAGAGATGGCGTTAGTTGTATTTTGTGGGGTAATTTGTTATAAGTGTAATTTGATGTCAACAGATGGCGTAAGCTGTATCTTATGGCCATTATTGACCAGCCAGTTGATAGTGTTCTCTTCTGCCGACAGATGGCATCAGTTGTCTTATTATTACTTCCGAATTCCCTTTAAATTCCTTGATCTACAGATCTACAGATCAGTAGATCTATCTACTGATCTTCTACTGAAGATCTACAAATTCCTTGGCTTATGATAAGGTTTTATACCATTTATGATAAGTATTAGATAACTGGAGTTCCGCAATTACTTTTATTTATCAACTGTTCAGATATCATCATATAATGTCTGGTTAGGACGTACTGCTTGCTCTCGATTGATGAAGATTAAGCCACCCAAGAGGTGGCACGGGCATGAATAGCCCGTAAATACTGCTCTGGCAATATTATTCAGGGGGGGGGAACTATCAAGTGAAAGCGCCAAGCCATTACGACTATATAGCACTCGGAAGGGATCAGGATACGGATTTGGGATGGAACGGGGGAAAGGAATGGTGCCCAACCTCTTGGGCGGTCGGGGATTGAACGCGGACCTGTAGGAAACGAGACCGTCGCTCTACCGTCCAGCCCAAGTGGTCTGCGTAATATTATTAAAACAACAATTTGTGCATATAATAACAGCATTTCACACTAAAAATACTTGGATATATTGAAATTTGGTAGTGAATTCCAATCTAGGAATCCCCTATGACTAAACTGTACTTTTTAATCATTTTTATGTACTTACTACGTATTATTAAATTATTAAGTTCTTACTCAAATAATTAAATAAATAATTTTATTTAATATTTAAATTAAATGATAAAATAATAGGTAATAATAAATCATTGTGTAGGGGGGCAGGCAGCCAGTGTATATATACATGTTAGGCTTATACCAAGGTTCCACAAAGGTCCCACAAAGGTGCGACATTAAAGACTGGATGCTGGCCGGGCGGGCCCGAGGGTTTCCCTAGCAGTACATAGGCACCTGGGAGTTAGTCAACTGTTGCGGGGTTGCATCCAGGGGAGGCTCACCAGTCCGGCGTTATAGACCTTGATATGTCTAACGTACGTGACCATTAACTTCCTAAGTGTAGTGACAGGATGAGAGCGTGTGTGTGTGTGTGTGTGTGTGTGTGTGTGTGTGTGTGTGTGTGTGTGTGTGTGTGTGAAGTCGCACAAATCATATCTCAGAACTAAGACTCTCATACCCGGAACGGTTGAGGGCCACAGGGCTAACAACGCTGCAAACCAGACATGACAGGGCTGATCTCATCAAAACTATTAAAATACTGAACAATTAGGAGGATATTGATCCACACCACTTCTTCTAATGGTCAGGTGTAACAAACAAGGAGGAACGGTTTCAAGCTCAACAAGCCACAATGTGGGACTGAAAACAGGAGATGCTTTCTCACTCATGGGGTTAGGGAACCGCCTACCCGCCAAAACTCTGAACTTTAAAATCTAGCTTGAAAAAAATCAGGTCAAATAGTGGCGGGGGGGGGGGACCTTTGACAAGCCGCCGGCTTCCTGTCCTCGTTCGAGGCCACTATAGTGTTAATTAGTGACCCTCAGATAAATTTATTTAATTGTATAAATTATTTCGTCCATTTTTTTAATAGGGGATTTCAGAGTATACAGTCAAAAGTTAGCAATAAGTTTACCTAATATCCGTATCTCAGAAATTAACTAGTAACATATGCAGGCCAATTGCCAGACTATTTTGTGCACTATAACAAAGGCCAACTAATTGATACCAATTAGATAATTGATACCAATTAGATAATTGATTTATCTGATGAAATGTACTATTTTATCTTCCGTGAGAGAGAAGTGGGAAAAAGGAAGCGATGAAGGTGGAGACGGCAGTGATGCGCCATGAGCCCGATGACTGGCGCCGCTACAACTCCACCCTCAGACAGGCCAGTCGTGGCACCCGCACCACCTCCCTCATGAGTCGCACCATCTTCGTCGCCAGGTAAGTTGTCTTAGTAAGTCATCTTGGACCCCAGGAGTTAGCTGAGGCAGATGATTGATGAAGATTAAGCCACCCAATAGGTGGCACGGGCATGAATAGCCCGTAAGTGGTAGCCCTTTTGAGCCATTACCAGTATCAAGAGATGATACTGGAGATCTGTGGAGGTGTGACTGCACCCAGCGTGACGGGAGATGTCTCCCGTCTAGCTGAGGCCGCCGACACCTTCCTTATATATATAACATCAACACACTGTTGTGTACCAAGCTTAATACAGTAATAATAATAATTTAGTTCGTCTTATGTATTTTATTTTGGATAAAGTAATATTTATTATTATTATTATTATTATTATAAAGCTACCCCTGGCGTGCCTTACAAATTAAGGATCTTCCAATTTCCCGATTAATTTTTCTTGTGGGTGTATATCGATATGAGACATATTTCTAGCATATTATTTTGTTTAAAAAAATGTTGTCTGTTCTGCATTGCGGCAAAATTCGCTGAATATATAACTGTTTCACATCTGAGAATGTCTTATTTAAATATATTGCCTAGCTAGCCTTTCTTGGTTCGCGAGTTGCCTAGTTTTGCATGAAACTGATGGTCATGAGCCTAACTTTATTTATAATACATCTTTGTAGATGTGATTTATATGCTTGAGTACTGTACAGTAGTCATTAGAGCAATATATAGGGATTCACTAGAGATTCATAAAGCAACTTTTGTTTTGGCCTTGTCTTTAATTGTACTTTTGATTATTCCTGGAGTTTGTCTTATTATAATTACAGGTCGAACTTGGTGAGCTGCTGTCAGTGACTGGCGGACGCTGTACTCTTTCTTACATAAAGGGTCTTGCCTTTATTACTGGGTATACAATAAGTGTTCATTAGGTTAACTGAGATTGCTATAATTAATTCTGCTTGAGGAGGAACAGTTGTGGGAGAAATAAAATATAGTACACTTATGTATCATTATTAACATACTTGAGTACATATTATTTGTGATGCTATCCTAGACTATATGAAGGGTTACGTAGTGTGTGTCAGAAACCTGTCCTCTTACAAAGAACGTCGCATTTCGCTCGTATGCGTTACACAAGGCCACAAATTGTCGTATTAGAAAATGGAAGCGACTCGCGAAAGTGACGTACTGTCCTGTTTTCTGTTTTGGGTCCTCTGGTAGGTTAGGAGAGAATATTTTACATTGACCATTTTCTTGACGTCGGGGAACGTTAGGAGGACGGGCTGGTGTCAGGCGCTATCCACGTGACGCTGAAACATCCCCATCTATCAGGATGGTTGGTCATGCAGGGCTGTGTGATCACCGACCCGCTGCACTTACAACCTTTGAATGTACTATGAGGTTATCCTCTAAAATGCACGAGTGAATAAGGTAACTACAAAGCACCAGGTACTAGGCAGGTGTGAAGAGTTATCTTGCGATGATTTCGGTTCTTAGGGGTAACTGGACATTCAATAAAATGAGATCATGACCCAGTCCTAATGAGAGAGTTTACACCAGGAGTGCTGAGGGCTGTCACGGCGCCAACTGTAACACAGCGCACACATCAACTTCCCTCCCACGCCTCATGCACAACCCACTACTGGCTCTCACATATCAATTTTGTATAGAAGAGGGTGGTGAGCACGGGCCACAGCCAACGGTAGCACTATAGCCTCATACTGGCAACAGCTAACGTTAACAAGTAGTGTGATGATCAGTGAGAACTCTATGGATAAATGAAGCCAGTCTTCAATATCTTCAGCTGCGACTCTTCTTACCTACGGGGAAGTGAGGCCTCTATGTGCTGTTGTATACCTGTTGCCTTACAATTTAACTACGTTGACATTCACAGTTTTTGGGAGACGAGCAGAGACAACCTGAGTATAAGTTGTAAGGAGAGAATGTCCAACAAGTGGATCGCCTAGAGTCTCAGTCACTTGTACCGTAATGTCTGTTAACAAACATTGCAACGTAGAGCCAGACAGAAGAAGGCTCTCAGATGCTACGGTACACACCGAAAAGTCTCAGTGGAGATGTTTGGATACGTCTTGCTTCACCTGATGCCTCTGTTCACCTAGCAGGCAACTGTTGTGGGATGCAGCCTGAGGAAGGTCAGTAGGCCTTGGGGAAGCCTCGATAAGCCTAACAAGTTTCTTGTCTCCGGCAATAGCAAACTTAAACAAATTTGGACCAAATTGGTATAAAATAGACAAATTTGTTGCAAATGTTAATATTTTAATGTACATTAATTGTACAATATATTTTTTGTATTCGTTTAATTATACAGGATAATAATTTTTATCAATCTCGATATTTACATGTAAGACGCCTTCTGGGGGCACAACTTGCACTAAAATAATGAGATTAACATTAGTCTTTCAACCACACTGGCAAAACTTAATACAATCCACCAAGATGTATGACAATAAATATCTTAATTCTATAACCTATAAGTTTTGTATACACTTTATCACATCTGCATACCTTCATGTATATATATACAAAGTAGACATACTAAAGTGTGTGCATGTAGACTATATCAGGTATGTTTACGGTTTTTGCGAGCAATGCCCCGACACTACGAGTGACAGTCACGAGTCAAACGTCAGCTGCAGTTGTAATAAAATAAGTATTCCCACACATCAAAGTGCACTGTATAAAGGGAATCATTATTAAGACTTGGGGAGTCTATAATATATTCCACGAGGCAGCTTAAAAAAAATTAAAAATCAATTCTTAAAAATGTTGAGAATTTAAATATGGTTTTCATAACCTATATCATATATAAGCAGGTCACAAAAGTTCTCCAAGGGAGAGCATCATAGTAATATATTCTATTACCACATTTTATGAAAAATATGCATATTGTGTGTGCTCAAGTGGTTCAGACAGTCGTAGTGCAGGACTCAGATCATGCTTGTGAAAGCTGGCCAATCATAGGCCAGGATTCTAGAATGTCAATACACTATCTTTGTTAATCTTTCTGTTAATAGGACATGAGAGCACATCTAACTGACTAGACAGTTTGTTCGAAGTAAAGATGACATTTACAAGTGGCGGCAAAACTGCACAGACTGTGGCAGATAGATGAATCCTCTCACATTCAGTTACGAAAGAAAACTATAATTTGAAAAGCAAAGAAGAACAAGTTGAGTGGTTTAAGACATCTTGGGCTTGGGTCGAAGGTGTATGGCGGAGGTGGAGAGTATGAGGAGGACGGAGGAAGCCGCCATGGTCTCGAGGAGCAGGAGGACGGCGCCCCACGACCACGTCCTGGCCACCCAGCTCAGCGGCCACCCGGCTGCCACGGCACCAACTGTAATACAGCGCACACATCAACCTCCCTCACACGCCTCGTACACAACCCACTTCTGGCTCTCACATATCAAACTATTTTTTTTATTGAAGATTGTAATTTTTCAGTAGAATATATTTCAAATTTAATATTTTAATATAGAATGGAACATCTTATAATTATCACTCCTGAAATACCTAAACAAGTATATAGGCCTTACTTTAATACGAAACCTGTTGGGCAGTACTGTTAGCTTTGACAAGCATCAGCTCACTGATATGAGATAAATACACTAATCTATGTACCTACGTTTCAGAATCCACTGATGCTTATCTAACTGGTTCAATACTGGGCACCAGAAATTGGTTGATAAATATAATTCTATGTGTATGTCCGTTTCTGCTTGTATATGACATCAATTCACTCTCAACCAACACAACACGTCAGGCATATGATTTTGATGGGCCGATGTATTTTTATAAATCTACGGTAACTTTAAATATCATATATCTGTTTTGTCAACGTTATACTTAGTGTTCATAATTGTTTAAATAATCAATTAAATTCAATATGTTAGGTACATTTGTGCCTGTAGGATCGAGCTGGTTGAAACAAATAGGCAAAGCTGCTTTCACCTGATGCGTCTGTCGGTGGGACCCAGGAGCTGGAGCACAAACCCGGCATACGTTCCTAAATAAGTACACACAAACTACTGGATCCTAACCAACACGCAATCCCACTCAACTAAATATTATCCTAGAGGGTCTGTCTCTTTTAAAGAAATCCCCCTTCCCCCCCCCCTCCCCTCCCTTCCAGGAGGGCCACCCACCATTTGCCGCGAGGGCGACGACGGCGTGGGCGGTGCCGGAGAGATGGGCGGGGAAGGTCTCGGAGGCCACGATGCCGTAGATGGAGATGGGGCCAAACATGCTGGCGCCCAACACCACGCCCACGCCAGACACCACCATCTGCCGCACCAACAACACCTTATTAGACTCACGCTCACTTTATTATTAATATGCACTTCACTACAAGCATAGTTTACAATATTACTAATAATTTACGGTTATTATATACATAACTGAGATAGGGTTTACTGCTAAGGTTATTAACTCAGATGGTTTAGTCGTGGTGTACCCATGGGGTTGTGAGGGGGCACGAGGTAGGTGTACCTATGAGGGGGGCATGAGGAAGGTTGTACCTGTGAGGTGTGAGGCGTGAGGAAGACCCTCAAGAAGTGTAGCCCGGCAGCACAGGCCACCATGAAGCTGGCAGCAACCATCAGACGAGCGTTACCTCTCATGCTCACCTGCCGGCCAACGTGGTTTACCATAATTATACCCTCCATACACAGAAAATGGAACATGCTCACTGTTTTTTTTTTTTGAGATATATACAAGAGTTGTTACATTCTTGTACAGTCACTAGTACGCACGTAGCGTAGCGGGTTCATACAATTAATAAAGGACACAATATCAGGAGATAATACTGGAAGCTCGGTACTGAAGTACTAATTGCCGTTGTCGCAGTGCCTTCTAGACTCATCAAGATCCCCCTCCCAGGATAATTCCAGACCTTCTCTAGGATGCAACCCAAAACAGTTGCCTAATTCCTGTGCACCTATTCAACTGCTGGGTGAACACAGGCCTAGGTGATAATTATAAATATAATCATATAAGCAGCTGTGGTACAAAGGTATATACTGCCGTACACAGGAAACCTTTGGAAACATATTTGATGCATACCAAAATACAGCGTCTGCTGAGCTGTTTCATTAACTATGGTTAGACTGGTACTATTGGAAGACTTGGGGAGGAGATACGGAGTCTTCGGTGGGTCAGAAAGTTGGATATTCCATCAGCAAACATTCAATCCCATCACCCACTATGTCACTCAGGCATGAGGCAGCCGCCGTCCCACCACCCACCCCTCATAATCACACTCCCTCAACACAGCAAAACAAAAGCACCAACTGGAGGAGAGTGGAGGTGTACACCGTACCGTGGAAGCCATCTTGTCCGTGAGGACGCCCGCCAGGATGCCGCCAAAGAACCCGCCAGTCTCCAGAGCACTGGTGAAGGAACTCGCTGTGGGGAGACGATAACATTTACCATACTAAACAACCTTATTGTTGAATTATAGTATGATACAGCATATCTTCAAGCATATCAAGTACTAGACAGGTGTAAAACAATATGCAAAAAAATGAAATTTAGAGTGTGCGTTGGGCATAATGTAAGTGACTGTGTTTATAGTATGTAACTATACCTGGTGCCTCTAAACCCCCTCCCACCCGCAGCCAGCTTGCGTACCTTGCATCTGTGATCGGCCGAGCTCCTCCATGAGGAAGACCTGTCCCCAGTCTGCGAGGGCCGTCTTGGAGCAGAAGACGATGAGGTAACACACCGACACCAGCCACAGGAAAGGCGACGCCGCCAGCTGCCTCGCCGTCATCTTCTCGCTACACTCACTCTCTGAAAACCCGCTAATACTTACAACAACTTACTTGAACAACAATTTATTTCAGGTATGGTAAGTTATAGCACTTGCAAGACTGTCCTACTCTAAGGTAACACTGCCAACACTCTCCCTCTCTGAGATAACAGTTGAATGGTTTGTTAAAGTATGGTGCAGAGAGTCAAGGTGATCTGCTGGTCGTTGTTAAGGAGTGAGATAAGAGAAGATAACTCACTGCTGGATGTTGGGGTGTGGCTGGTGGTGGGGTCTGGGAGGTGAGCGAGGGCGGGCTCGTCAACCAGAGTCACAAGGGTCACTCCGGCCATCACCACAGACAGTAGACCTGGCAACCACACAAATTGGCGTCAGCAAACTACCCAGGATGAGTAGCTCAGTGTGTGCGTGTGCGAGCGCACACAAGCAGGCATGCACGCACGCGTGCAAATAAACACACACACACACACACACACACACACACACACACACACACACACACACACACACACACACACACACACACACACACACACACACACACACACACACACACACACACACACCAGGCCTATTTCTATAAATATCCAGGCCATAAATATAAATGTATCCAGGGCTTTTCTATAAATTCATTAAAAACAAGCTACATGTAAAGGATCAAATTCAGAAATTGAGACCTGAGAAATATGAACATCATGGGTTTAAAACATATTTCCTAAACTTCACAAAGTTCTATGACAGGAAATAGACTACATATTTCTGGACACACAGGTCTTTAACAATACTACACATGTAACTACTTCCCATAATGGACATAGTAAGACTGACCAGAGATAATGAGTGAGGCGCTCCAGCCGTGGTTGATGATGACATAGGCTGCCAGGAGCGGGGAGAGGCTTCCCGACACGTTACTGCTGGCCGTCAACACGCTCCACCACGTGCCGAAGTTGGCGGGGCTGAACCACTGTTTACACACACACACAAGCATGCAGTAAAGGTTAGCATACACTCCACATGCTAGGAGGGGAGGGAGCGGGCCCGTGGGGAGTTTATATCGATGCAACTGAACACGTGGTTTGTATAATCAGCAATTGTATTAATGATGGTGGTGGTGGTGCAGTGTGTGTGGAGGACGGGACTGCAGGGGGGTGTAGAAAGATACTATGGTTGCATAAACATTGAACCAAATCTGTAATTTAACTCAGAACCTTTGGGCAAAAATTTAATTTCAAACAATTTAACCAGGGTAAAATTCAATATTGTGCATTCTAATCTTAAACGCCGAGGATGTAGAGATACAGTACCTTCTTGAGGAGCTTAGCACAGGCAGGCCAGCCGGCGCCCTGAGCAAACCCGTTGAGGAACCAGAGCAGCGCCCAGATCACTGCATTCTCAGTCCTGGAGAAGATCAGGGTGCACGCTCCGCTCACCGCCAGCCCTGATCACACCACACTCCGTCTTAGTGTGTATGTTGTGCATCATAAATGAACTAAACTTACAACCTCAATAACACTCCCGGAACTTTTCCACACAATAAAAATTCTATTATGCAATAGTCGCATAATAAAACATTTCGACCTTGATTTTTCTATGAAGATATTTCCAAACATTCAAATAATATCCTAGTTACATTTGTCTCTTTTCGCATGTGCCTCTGTTCACCTAGCAGTAATTATATGCCCCGGCGCTAGGCAACTGTTGTAGGTTATATCTTGGGGAAGATAAGTAGTTGGCCCTAGGGATCTCTACAAATTTACAATTGTTTGTGTAAGGTTGGAGGCCAGATGCTTGGTGCTAGCCTCAAACAACGGTCTCCCTTCATGCAGGTCGGCGTTCAATCCCCGACCGTCCAAGTGGTTGGGCATCATTCCTTCCCTCCCCGTCCCATCCCAAATCCTTATCCTGACCCCTTCCCAGTGCTATATAGTCGTAATGGCTTGGCGCTTTCCCCTGATAAATTCCTTCCATTCATGGGTGTTAGGGGACTATCATAGGCACCATTAACCCATTGCCCCTTTAAGAAGAAGAATCGATTCCTAACGGGACTTCTCTGGAATGGTGTTTTTTCTAGAGTTTTTCATGCGTTCATAATAATGCATGTTGCACTAGAAAGAGACTGAGACAGACAGACAGACAGACAGACAGACATACAGATAGACCTAGACACCATCGAGTACCCCCATCTACTGTCTCATAGTCTCCGTGGTGTAGTGGTAAGACACTCGCCTGGCGTTCCGCGAGCGCTTTGTCATGGGTTCGTATCCTGGCCGGGGGAGGATTTACTGGGCGCAAATCCTTAACTGTAGCCTCTGTTTAACGCAACAGTAAAATGGGTACTTGGTTGTAACAACGATTCTTCGCGGCAGGGGATTGTATTCCAGGGACCTGCCCGAAACGCTACGCGTACTAGTGGCTGTACAAGAATGTAACAACTCTTGTATATATCTAAAAAAAATATATATATATATATACACTGCAGGGGTTTATGATGAGGGTGTTCCATCGCTTCCATAATGTAAGTGGGACTGTAGGCGTGATTGATAACTGTCTGATATAACGTGTACTACAGCAAGCTGGACACGATGGCTTCACCTTCCATGGAACGTTGTTTAAGATTCAGCTACTTGGAACCAAAAGTTCCAAGTAGCACGGGCTATGGTGAGCCCGTAAGTGGACTTACCCGGCACAGGAGCGGGGCAGTAACTCGTCCCCCATGGAATGGTGGGGACCCAGGTTATATATACCTCCTGGACCACTGCTGTTATAATACAAATCAAATCAAAAGTTTATTCAGGTAAAAGTACATACATACATGATGAGTTACGAACATAATGTTAGATTTCTAGAACTAGTACATACAGTGCCTAAAGCCACTAATACATTTATCTCTTAGTTCTGTGCGTGTTAAAAGTCACTGAGGAGCCCCTCCGGCAGTCAACACTCTTGCCTGCACCAGAAAAGCAAGATTATCAGCACGCTGGACTTGTGATCCTGTGGTCCTGGGTTCGATCCCAGGCGCCGGCGAGAAACAATGGGCAGAGTTTCTTTCACCCTATGCCCTGTTACCTAGCAGTAAAATAGGTACCTGGGTGTTAGTCAGCTGTCACAGGCTGCTTCCTGGGGGTGGAGGCCTGGTCAAGGACTGGGCCGCGGGGACACTAAAAAGCCCCGAAATCATCTCAAGATAACGGTCAACGGTGAGTAAGAAGGCAGTCACGTGATAGCAGGAGCTTGAGGTGTTATGTCAGAGATAAGAAAGATACCCGGTGTTGACCGAGCCCACATGTTGATTGCAACCAAGCCTTCTTGAGGGCCGTGCTTGCATAACAGCAGATAACACAATACATGTGCACCGGCTTATCTCCCTTCCCCAGGAACCTCTTATCAGACGTAGTAAGATGCTGTGACCCTGGACGTTAAATTTCGTTTATTTGACTATTTAAGTCATATATGTTATCTTTGTTTATTATTGTTTATACCTTTAAACTTTTCAATTTTACTGATTTATTTTTGGTTATGTTTCTAGTGGCTGTACTAAAATGCACCTTTGTATTGTTAAAACTACAATGCTTATTGTTGTTAAAACTACAATGCTTATTGTTGTTAAAACTACAATGCTATAATGTAGTAGGCTATTATATAGTATATGTAGGCTATGCCTGCCATCATTAGAAATAAACTAATCATTGTATATCATTGTTATATCTCCTGAACATCTAATATGTTACCTTTTCATTTAGTAATTAAGTGTTTAACCCCATTATACCTATAAATTATTTTTGTACGAAAATTATTCAAACGTTTTGCCCGAAAAGCTTTGCGTAGTAGTAGCTTCATTTTTATATGTAACTCCTCTACATACAATTGTCCCTTCCTCTTGTGTTCTTTCTACACATTCTTACAAATAAAATTATTATTATTATTATTTGCCTCTCTAATCTATTGATAATATTTTAATAACTTTCGTATAAAATACACACTACAGAACGCCAAATACTTGAATTACTCTACAACACAACTTAATCCTAAAATTATGCCAAAGATATCTTCGATTGACAAAACATTTATCTTTCTCTTCTTGCTATAACACAGGGCATTTAAATCCATAATTAACAATTCTTTTGGAGCTTTAATTATAAGTCACTGTTAATATAAGACGTTCTTTTATTGCATATTACTATTCTTCAAAAAATGCGGTCTTATCAAATCATCGCTAAGAAAACTATGCTCGTCGAATGACATCAAGTTTCCCCACTCTTGATCTACCACAACCAAGCGATCAGCAAGGAGATATACCCCAAGCTTCTTAAGTCATATCATCCTCATAGTTTCCTACCTTGCGCTTCAAACTCAACACTATTTTGTGCTGCCCATTCCTCTAATATTAAGACATGCAACTTCGCCAGTGTAATCAATTTCGTCAATTTATATTGTAGTTATTATGTTGATCTCAAATTTTGCTACACTGTAACTATTAATAAGCTTACTCTATCTGTTAGATTAAGGACCTGCCCGAAACGCTATGCGTGTCAGTGGCTATGCATAAATGTAAGAAAACTAATGTTGTGTACTCTCACAAACCCAGTATACTCCTCTCGTATATAAATAAATAATTCAATAAATAAATAAATAAATAAATAGTTTAGATTACACGGAGAGATTAAGACCACCAGCTATTGGATAAAGAGCACCAGACCATCATAACTCTCAAGAGGTTGATAGGTCTTAAGCCCAACACCTGACTAGAACACGACAATAATCTCCTCGTGACACAGAGGTAGCACCCTCACTCGCGCCCGCCAGTGAGGGTGTATTGGTTTGTGCCTTAGTTGTATGTATTTTGTATGTATATTTTATTTTGTAGTTGTATGTGTGGGCAGCACATATACCTTGGAGCTGATATCAACAGTGACATTATACTCCTTATATCTACATTGTAGGTTAAAAGAAAGAGTTAAACCACTGAAAACACTTACTGGTAAGAATATTGGTACCAGCAATAAATAAAACTTCTCCTGGAAGATCGACAGTAAGAACCTCTTACTGTCAATTATAAATGACCTAATTGCTGCACAGAGTAAAGGGTTTCGCATCTCCTTTGTATGGATACAATCACACATAAATATAACCCATCATAATAAGACAGACATTGCAACCAAATTAGCGTGTAACAAAGATGAAGTTGAATTAGGACCTAGGTATCCCCCATCTCTGCTGTCAAAACTATATTGTACCAAACACTCAGGTGTAATAAGAAAGAAATTACCGACTTTCATCGACCTGAAAGAACCCGTATAAAAAATCAATACAAGCTGATTTGTTCAGATCTGAAACCTATGTTTATGGGCAGCACAAAACCTGCAACAGACTGTGCGACACAGTGGTTGCCAGGATCAGGATGGGTTACCGTTACCTGTGGCTACAGGTGACGGATCTCCCAATCCTGAATACTCCAGGTGTAAACTCTGTGAGCAGGAACTGGGGCATGATCTCCCACACCACATCATCGAATACCCAATTCAGACCATTCGGATTCATTGGCATGAGGTACCTGGAGCCTTGCAATTACTTACTCCCCTTCATATTGTGTAGTGTAGTTGCACAAATGCAGATGTACCGAAATATGTTAATAATACAAAAAGTGCCTTAGTATTATGGACTGAATGGTTGCCTCCTTGACTTTTCCACCAAATTCGTGTTCCAGGGAAGCACAAATTGGGGAGCGTCGTGTTCCATGAAAAACTAGCAGAATAAGGCCAAATCTGAGCTATGGAAAGGGAAAGCTCTAAGACGGTTAACAGGCGTCAGAAGTTAACCATCTGGGGCCAGATTCACGAAGCAGTTACGCAAGCACTTGTACTTGCGTAACTGCTTCATGAATCTGGCCCCTGGTTAACAAAAAATCTATGCACTAGCAGCAGCGAGCGTGCGAGGCTTCCCAGGTGGTCGTCCTCAGGACGTTGGACCCCAAGCACAGGGTCACTGCATGATGGGTTTATCTGCCACCTCAGTATCTTATCACTTGTTATTGCTACTTGGTGAGAGCCGGTCGTGAAAGCATGGCGAATGAGCCAATAACCAAGAGGGAAACATAACGGGAAGAAAGAAGGCAACTTCACAAAGGCAATGTATGATACGCATTTTGTCTTCAGTTGTCATAATTATACTTTTGAGGCTCAAATAACAAATACAGTCAACAGTTTGCAAGTAAAATAATGATTAATTCACTGTGGATTAATTAAAAGTGGAAGTGATAATCTTATTTAGAATGTAGTATATATATATTAGTATATTTTAGGGCGCACCAAGTCATTGCCCCCTGGGTCTGAAATTACCATCTGAAACAATCTATTGTCTGAAACCCCGAAATTACCATCTCTTTTAAGGGTCTGAGTTTGATGCAGTTGGTTAAAGGCGTACCTGTTATGCCAGTTGCTG